GTAACCACAGTCTTACTCGAAAGACTATGTGGTACGGGACAATAAACCCATAACACAAATACTTTTTAGCTCCCCTGTAAAAAGTATCCATAGTCTTACTCTCAAAGAGTAAGACTATAACTACTTTAAAGGGAGATATGAAAAGTAACCATAGTCTTATTTTTCGATTTCAAGAGTAAGACTATTTATCTCCCTTGTAGTGTCGAAAGAGTAATGGGGTCATCCTATATAAGGCAAGCAATCAATAAGTATCTATTCCATAACATAACTACTTTTCACCTCACCTGTAAAAAGTAGCTATAGTCTTACTAGAAAGAAGAAGACTATGGTGTACGGGGCATGGAATCAATAAGTATCCTATTAATTTGTAAACCTATAACTTTTATCTACCTGTAAAATAGTTTTCCAGAGGAAGACTGTGTTTATGTCTTTTTCTAACCATGAGAGTGTCACATTTCATGAAGCAAAGGGCATCAAGTCCCTCAATGTACGAAAGGTTTATGTTACGGGTTAGATTACACTTTATGATATGTTTACAGTACATAAATTGAAAAAGCAAGCATGAGACCGTGGACTTCAAGGTTATTCTCGTATGAGAAAACATGAATTACTAGATTTATTAGGTTTAAAGTATTAAAAAACACCTACTGTGAAAGAACTAAAAAAGCAAGCTCGTGAACGTGGAATGCGAGGTTATTCTCATATGAGGAAATCTGAGCTCATTGAATTACTGAAAGAACAAAAACCTATAGAATTACAATTCATGCCTACTGAGAATGCTGTAGGTAAATATTTGAGAGGTTGGAAGATGGAAGTTCAAAGAAACATAGACTTTGAAGATATAAAACCATTGGTATTTGACAAAGTAAACGAAGAACTGAAAGATTTAAGAGGTATTAAATTTCAACTCACGTTAAACATAACACTAGAGAAACAACAGTCGAATGAAACAACTGAATACACCAATGTTTACTTCAGAGGTAATCAAGAAGTTACAACACAAGCAGACACTATCAACTCTTCTATAGACAGATCATTAGAAAAAATTCGAGAAACACTAGAACGTTACACTAATATGGGTTCTGGTTGGGTTGTTGACAAGATTAACATGATCTACCTGGATATAGCAAACTATATACCGTACTTACCCCTGTCTGAGTATTTCAAGAAAAAACAAGCTATGGTTAAAAACCGAGGCAACAATTGTATGAGGATAGCGATAAGATCCGCTAAATTTCCAGTTGAAAAACATTCCGATAGAATTACCAGTTATCCAGAAGATGACGGGCTCAATTGGGAAGGTATAGACGAACCCACCCCCATCTCTCAGATCCAAAAAATAGAACAACAGAATCAAGACTTAGCCATAAACGTTTTCGGACACGAAGGTAAAAACGTAATAGTACACAGGATAAGTCCTTTATTGTATAAGGATTGTCGTAAAATGATCAATATATTTATGATCCAACAAGGTGAAAAATATCACTACACATGGATAAAGAATATCAGCCGACTGTTGTACAATCAATGAAACACAGGGAAAAGAAACACTTTTGTGAAAGGTGCCTTCACGGGTTTTCTAGGGCTGATCTGCTAGATTCGCATAGGGTTGATTGCCTAGGTGTAGGGGAGACAGCCGTACGAATAGATATGCCGAGAGAAAAAAACATCTTGAAATTTATCGACCACAAAAATCAAATGCCAGTACCATATATTATCTACGCCGACTTCGAAGCTATCATTAAACCAATAGATACAGTCAAGCTCAATCCACTAATCAAAGTTTCACACAAAAAGTACAAGAGCACGAAGCGTGTGGGTTCGGGTATGTGGTCGTTCGTTGTGATGGTCAAACTAACCCTCCCGTTATTTATAGAGGACAAGACGCGGCTGAAGAATTTCTAAAGTGTTTACAACACGAAGAGAAAAAGATTATTAAACAAGAAAAAATTGTGTCCAGGGACACGGATGCCCCTGCTGACATTCATAAGACATATAAAGATCAATAATTGAACAAAATTCACGAACAAGTTCAATAAACATCTATGCAACTATGACATGCACACCTTTCGAGTCTCAATGAAACACATGTATAAGCTTAATCAATTCTGTTGAGCAGTTTTTGTGGAGAAGAGGATAGACTTAATCCCCTATTTCACTATCATCAGAGAGAAATTCAGGAAAATTTATCTAAGTTCAAAATTCTCTAAACATACAAAAAATTATAAAATACGAAAACAAAATATGAGATGCACACCTTTAGAGTCTCTATAAAAGACATATGTAAGCTAAATGAGTTTTGTGCAGTGTTTTTTTAGGAGAAGTGGATAAAGTACACCCCCTGTTGTATGGGACGAACTGGATGAATAGAGCCAATTCAAGTTCAAACATCTGTAGAAGTGACAAAATTAAGAAATTGGATGAACAAGGTATGAGACGCACACCTTTAGAGTCCCAATGAAACACACATAGAAGGCCAAATCTGTTGAGCAGCTTTTGTGGAGAAGTTGATAGACTTCATCCCCTATAACACTATATTCAGAGAGGAATTCAACAAAATTTATGCAAGTTTAAACGGCATTAAAATTGGAAAAATAAATAAAATACAAAATCAAAATATGAGATGCACACCTTTAGAGTCCTTATAAAGCACATGTGTAATCTAAATGAATTCCATAAAGTAGTTTTTGAGGAGAAGTGGATAGCATTACACCCCTGTTGGATGGAACGAACAGACTGAATAGAACAAAATTCAAGTAAGTTCAAACATCTGTAAAAGTGACAAAATTAAGAAACTGGATGAACAAGGTATGTGATGCACACCATTAGAGTTCCAATGAAACACACGTAGAAGCTCAATCAATTCTGTTGAGCAGCTTTTGTGGAGAAGTGGATAGACTTCACCCCCTACAACACTATATTCAGAGAGAAATTCAACAAAATTTATCTAAGTTCAAATGGCATTAAAATTGGAAAAATAAATAAAATACAAAATCAAAATATGAGATGCACACCCTTAGAGTCCCTATAAAGCACATGTGTAATCTAAATGAATTCCATAAAGTAGTTTTTGAGGAGAAGTGGATAACGTACAGCCCTGTTGGATGGAAAGCCCATGTATAAGTTCATTGAATTCCACAGAGTGGTTATGGTGGAGAAGTGGATAGAATGCATTCCCTGTTTCGGACAGACGGACGGACGGATGGACGGATGGACAGACAAACGGACGGACACCGAGGGTAACCCTATATGCCCCTGCCATAAATGGCGGGGGCATAAAAACTATACAACAAAACACCAATGCGTATGACCCAAGCAGACAGTGAAGCCCACAACAAAAGCACACATTGTCATGTGTGCTGTAAACCTCTGAAGGGTGATTCAGTTAGAGATCACTGTCACATTACTGGTAAATACAGAGGTGAGGTTACGAACACGCTAAAAAGTATCCACGAAAGACTCGGATCAAGTAGCACAAGCGTTTAAGCGAATATACAAGCGTAGTCGGCTTACATGGCCTGATTTATTGCAAGTCGATCCAGGCCGGGAATTCATGGGATCCGTGTCGAAACTGCTAACCAAGAATAACGTAGAAGTTAGACGGGGTGAGGTGGGAGCCCATCGAAGTCAAGCTATAGTAGAGAGATTCAATCGCTCCATAGCCGAACGTTTGTTTTCACACCAATATTCTCGTGATTTAGCGGATCCTAATAACAGAAACACTGAATGGGTAGAACGACTTCCACGGGTGGTTGACTTCATGAATCATGAAATAACAAGACTACTTGATAAGAGACCAGTCGAAGCAATCCGTATGAAATCCGTTGTATCAGAGGCAGCAGCACCCCATCGTAAAAAGGAAAAAAAAAATCCAGATCGCGTGCTTGTTAGATATTTATATCAACCAGGTGAATACGAGGGAGACACCCGTAAACGTGCTACAGATCCTATATGGTCTATGAAAACATACAATATCAATCGAGTGGATATCAAAGACAGGGAACCTAACCTATACTTCTTGAAAGACGGACGACGTAGAGGATTCGTACGTGAGGAATTACAAATCATACCACAGTGATAAAAAAAATATATACATATACCATTATCTTTAACAAACGTTTAACTTCGCAGATGTAGTCTTTTTTCTTATCATAAATAAGTTTAAATGGTAATTTATCAGCGCCGTGGGCTTTACATAATCGGTAATGACCTTTAACTCCTATACCACACACCGAACACATATAATTAGTATAACCTTTACGGTGAAAACAACAATAACCCTCAATGCGGCTTTTATTACCACAAATTTCAGTTTTCCCCATAATAACCCATTGACAAAGATATGGTGCGTATCTCATTTTTGATATAATAATTTGTGTAATTAGTCTAATTGTTTCACAATTAACACTGTCGATGCTAAACCCAGTGCCACGAATACCAACTCACGATCTTTTTGTCCATCGGAAGGAGTGTAATACTGAGAAATCGTTGGTGTATTTCCTAATGGTTCTAGTTGTTTACCTGTTAGCACGTAGTATTCTTTCATAGCTTCGTCGACGTCCTTGAAAGTTCTAACAGAATGATTTTAACGTTGTAGTTGATTATTGAGAAAATCTAGTCTCTTCATGCGTCTCTTAGCGTATTCAGCCTGCGTGGTCTGCAGTTTTTCTACAGCTATATCGTGTCATTTTCTCTCCGCTTCTACCTCAACCACGTTTGACTCTCGTAATTTAGAAAATAGATAATTACTCCCGGAAAATGCTAGGGCATTCACAAGAGCTCCGACAACCATCATTGCTATCGTGGCCATATTATATATATTACTTTAAAATATTTTCAGGTATAATACCTTGTTTTATCAGAACGTCCTTGGTGGCCATCGCCATACCAATATTCATAGTAAGCATAGCAATATCCTGCAGGTCGAAGTTGAGTTTTATAGTCGGTTGTTTTATAATCATTTTAGTCAACCGAGCGTGATTCCTACTGCTAATCCGGAAACCACAAAGGCGTGGTATGCATCATTAACGAATGTTTTTCCCTCAGACATAATATATATTAATAGAAATATAATTTTAATTATAACATAATATGAGGGTTGATCTCCTCTGGGGGTGTTGGTGATGGCTGTGGTTGTGTTTGTTTTGGTTTAAATAACATAAATAATGAAACAACAGCAGTGGCTACTACACCACCTACGGTAAACCACAATGTGTAATTATTTTTATGGTGCCTGGTTAAGGCGTTTTTTCTACCAGCTTCAACTCTTTTTTTTCTCTTCTTCTTTGTGACATGTATCATGGAATAATAATTCATACAAAATTCATTATTCATTATTACCACTACAAACAATATATTAGGATTCAGATATTAGGAAAATATCAATATAGAATATTAGTAATAGCTTAGAGAAAGACTGCAGTCAAAAGTTGTAAAACTCATCTCACAGACATACTATTGAAAAAGGTATAAATTACGGCTACACAATTTCACAGATATTCAAGATAAAATCCTAGCCTAAGGTATTGAGGACTCAAGCTGTTAGCAACCCTTTCAGTAATTCAGAGTTATGACCAGACGATTAAATGAACTTCTTTCATAAAGTAAACATGTCATCATCTATATTACAAGACTTTAAAGGTCACATGCAACCAAAAAATCAAACATAATTAAAACACAATTATCACTTCTTCATGACATATAATATGCATTGCTGATTATGAAAAAAACAAATAAACAAAATTATAAGCGTATAATCGCAAATCAAAAGTGCAATATTTTGTACTTGGGTTTACCTCCCTCGAAACGAAGCAGCCGGGATACCGAACCCAGTCAGAGCGGGTGGGTGCGCACTCAAGTGTAACGGCTGGTTCATTAGCAGATGCCGCCTTCACGGGTCATTGTGTGTGTATATATAGAAAGTTGGGTTTTGTAAATACATGCTCATTTTTTGTGTATAACATTTTGCAATCAACAGACATCATAACATGTCATGTGTTCAAGTATCACACCTGCCTGTCTGTGTAATTACATAATGTGACAGAGACCGAACTCGGGCCATAAATCAATGCGTTTTGTTTATGGTGTATAGCCTGATTGGTGTTAAGTTCAAATTGCATGTGGTCAGTGATCGCAGTTGTGTATTGAATATTGTCATTAGCAGACAGGCAGGCAGACACACTGGTGTCAATAAAACAAGACATTGAGTTTTGTCTGTGACAGCGACATATCTATATCACAGTTAGAAATTGTGTCAACGCTAAATAATGACATTGCTTTTAAGTAACCAACTGAGAAAGTGACTCGGTAAGAAGAACGTGTGGTGAAATAGACAAATGAAATTATATAAACAGTTTATTTAAACCTATTTCACTGCGCACGTGCTATGAGCGCAGCCAGCTGTTGAAACCCGTATTCCCCAGAAAAGACTGGGGAAAATTAGTGAAATGTTTGAACTCTGATTTCGCGCGGTTTTTTTCATCGCGTTATTTTTCAACTTTATAAGTTGAATTTGCATTTTTGACGCTTTTTTTCGGTAAGTCCATACCGAAAGGTATCAGAATCTGCAAAGTTGTGTTTTTCGTTGCAGGTGACCTTTAAGCAAACACCAATTAAGGGTTATAAAGACATGGCCCACAGTAAATGCATCTATTGTAAACCAAGCACCTATAATTGACACATCAGATTAGGCTCGTTAAGATCTAGCCCAGGGTAAGCATCCAGTAAAAGTGCCATCGAGATTAGTGCCTGTTAAAATAGGATTAACAGGATTAAGAGTAATTGCCCTGTCTGGTCATTGAAGGACACACCCCATTTTGTATATTCTGTATTTGATAGGCTAATGTAGGTTACTCCCATTTTTGTATCAGTGAACCAATCGTAATCTCTTTATTGTTTTAATTGTAGATAAAAAGTCTCTAACTGCATTTGTCCAGCAGTAGGGTTTAGACTCCAAACACAGGTCAGCTCTAGCCCTCAGCCCAGAGGGTTGTACCGACTCTCTGTGGCCACCCCATGTTACTCCGTTCTTGTAAAAAAAGTGTGATTAGCTTCTTGTGACTTTGGACACTTTTGCTGAGTTAATTCCCCCAAGCAGACCAGCACGCCAGTTAGATAAGGTGTTTCACCGGAACAATCACTTGGACCCAAGACCCCTATCATAATACATGCGTCACTGGCTCCGTCTTCGGTGTTTCCTCCTCTGGAATCTTGGTTATTTCTTCCTGGGTAGTATCCATCTTGTATATTATTATTAATTTTTTTTCCTCTTTAAATTGACAATGCTTTGCTGTGATAATCGCCGCCATCACCGGGGCTAAAAACATCCCGTATTTGTGGTACAGCACGCAGCTGATAGAGCTCAAGGCGTGTTCAATAAACGTGTCTTTCTCTAGGTCCTCCCACAAATAGAGTCGACCATTCGGTGGGATGGGTAAAAATAATGACGCTATACCTGTGTAAATCTGGGTAATAGTAGAACCTATAACTTTTGTCATCTCAGCCCCGAGTTTTGACTCAAACCTGGTGTATAATTTATTTATTTCCTCATCTGACATTTTCTGAATTTTATCAGTAGTTATATTATCTCCTAAATATTGTTTTGCCTTACCACCCGCAAGTAGTGTTACCAGTCTGTCTCGCTGCTTGTCGTCCTTTTGTTCATCTGAAACTAATATCTGTTCTAGTAATTCATCACAATCCATTTTATAATATAGTAATCTAGTTTTAATTTTTTTTAAATAATAACCAACCCACACTAAATAGAGATAAAGGTTAGGTTACACACGACTATAACTTCAAAAACCGACATTTATACCAAAACTTACTAAAATTACTAAAACATTACTAAAATTTACTAAAATTACTAAAACATTACTAAAATTTACTAAAATTACTAAAACATTACTAAAATTTACTAAAACATTACTAAAATTTACTAAACTATTACTTGGTAATCCACTGGTTGGTCGGTTTTCAACACGAGCTTAGCATGTTTAGTTTTGGCGAGCTGTTTCTTAACCTGTTCCCAGTCTACTTTACTCATCACATCGTTCTCTCTCAAGCATTCCTCGAACGAATCCCTGTCCTTGCAGTGAAATAGAGCTACCCATCGTGTCTGTTCACGTAAATCCTTTAACACAGAGTTGAATTTTTGTGTCAGCACCCAGACGCTATGTTCTGCATGTCAACCTGAAAAGGCTAGGTAGGACAGCATATCTCTCTTTTTCGTTATTTCTCTATTAGCGCTGCAGTCATCCAGGATGAATAGCGTCGGCTTCCCTTTAAACTTCCCTTTTAAATTTGTTGTGATAAACTTTCAAATAGTCCTGCAGGTGTGTTCCCAGATCGATTTTATATACATCGGGATCCGTCATCACCCAAGATCTATCCGTGTAAGTCTTGTTCATATTTATAGTAGGACATAAGATAATGATATTGTCAAATACGTCTTTATAGTACCCCTCCAACAAATCCAGTACGAAAACTGTCTTACCACAACCCGTCTGCCCACATATTATGGCGCCGTGCGGATCTCGTGGTAAATTAATAGATTGCTTGCACAAATCTCCCATTCTCTATATTAAGTTGCGCGTCCATAATTACATATAAAAATAAATTTAATTTACCAGTTGGTTGAGCCTTCTTCATTATTTGAATGGTTATACCCTCGCTTCCGTTGTCGATCGCGACGACCACTACCGTGAAGTGTGTCGTCATCTGTCGATCTCATATCCAACCATAACGCGTACTTTGTGGTTAGGTAATCCCCGATATGCACGGAGGATAGATCCAGGTCATTTACTACGTTGTTTACTATTGAGTTTCGTTTGATAGCCGGTAGCTTCATTATTTCATCCCACTGCTGATATGCCTTCATTCCATGGCTAAATAGCTGATTAGCCACTCCCTCTATGGTCACTTCCACTTTGGTGATCCCTGGGTTGAAAAACTTCTCGCTGTCTCTTTCGAATGGATCGTATTCCTCCACGGGTATGAGTAATATACCTTTCATCGATCGCGCCGGAACGTTCATGTTGATATTCCATACCGTTTCACTCTTGTCACGTAATATCATTCTATGTCGCAGTATCCTATCGTACAAGATGGTCATTTTCCCAGAGTACTGATTTCGAATCTGCCGGGTGAGATCAGGATTAGTCACCATGTCGAACTCCAACGAGATGTTATCGATCTCGTAACTACCCTCTTCACCGTTCGGTGTATACATGACTTTGCTGTAATCATTGAACCTGAGTTCATATTCCAACCTGTCACCTAATGCAGCTTGGTAAAATGGTGCGTGCCCCGTTAGCAACTCAAAGTCTAGCGGGATACAGAACCTGTTTCCATACGCTCCGGCGATGGCTTTTTCACTTTTCGATAGTTTGGCTGTCTCTTTTTGTGTGAAGGCATAACCTATACGTAACCTAGTCGATTTACTGATTCCCTGGTACACGTCGTTGGCGCGTTCTCCCTCACTTTTCCATATACATCGCTGTCGTCTATGCTAAGCACCTCGTTACCACTAATTTTTATGGAGGTCTTCTTGACTATAGCACGGCCCACATTATTCACTAGCTCACGTTTGTCGTCTGATTTCAACGTGATGTTAAATGCCAATCGTACCGTACCTGGTACTATGACGTCGTTCTCCCCCAAGTTGGGGAATCTAACCAACAGTACTTGGTTCTGGTCTATCTTGCTGGGGTTGTTTGTAATAGTCACCGACTGACGCACGGCTTTGACGCCTAGTGGTTCTCTTAATCTTCGAAAAGGATTTAGTTTTCTACCATATGACATTGTTATATATTTATATTAATATAATATAATTTCAAAAATATGGACGATATTCCGATGGATGATTTTGGATATATGGCCTCTGCTGATGTTGATTACGATGAAGACATTTCGTTTACTAACTCATCATTGAGCAGCCAACTACTTAAAAACAACAGTAGACGATTATTACGATGGATTAAAAAACGATAGAAACTACGTCGAGCCTCAGTACAAAGACTATTCGAAGTTTACTATAGATGATAAGGGCATTCTACGTCTTAAGGATAAACCAGAGGTTGATATCATGAACACGCGCACTAGAAAACCACTTGCCTTGTCAACGCTAACCAGTTGCCATGGTACCGAATTTATCCGTAATAAACTAAACATGCAGGATTATGGTGGTGCAAAACCTAAGATTCCTCGAAGGTAGTTCACGATCTGCAAGCTACCAGGTCGAACTCAGTAGTGGTGGTGACATGACACTGGCGTGCTACAGAAGCGTCAGACAGCATCGAAAAACTGTTGGGCATGGACTGGGACAAACCATTACCTGGTTTTAAATTTCCAATGAGGGAACTGTACGGCTTAGATGAAGCCTTGAAACATGTACGTGGAGAACTCGTGAACAACATGGGTAAACTGAACGAACTCGACGAGCACATCACAAGTGAAAAAACCAAACTCACCGAAACTAAAGACGATGATATTAAGCGTCGTATCACAGAACGACTACGTAATTTACAAGATGAGAGACAGACCCGATTGGAATCCGCTTCCTCTAATCGAGAACAGCTTCGATCTCAGATCAGTCGTGTGCGGGAAACCATCGATCGAGTACTGAACGAGGATACCACGTTGGTTGAAAGGATCAGAATATTGTTCCGAGAGCAAGGCATCACCATTGCCAGCGTTCTTACAGCATTTGGCTTCATCATCGTATCGCTGACGGGTGGTGGAGGAACACCAACACCACCAAAACCACCGAATGGTGGTGACGTCAGAGACTGGATAAAAAAACATCTGAAATCACTAGGGGAAGCCCTGGCTAAACTCGCCAGTAAAGCCGCCGAAGCCCTGCCAGGTATCCTGGGTAGCATCATCTCGTGGTTGTTTAGCACTCTCTCGAAAACAGTCACGTGGCTCAGTCAAAACCTGTGGGCGTTCATCGTCGCCGTTGCCGGGTTGGTGTACGTGACCGCTAAGGAATTTTTAACCAGATGAAACCCAGGCCAACCGCGATCCCGCCAACCACCAGCGCTGTTTTATGGTCAATGTGCTGCTGATTAGACACCTGCACGTGTGGTGGTTGGGGTTGTGGTGGTGTGGACTGAACCCTAGACTCTGGGGTGATGCCACTATACCCGTTTCACCAGTATGCGTGGGTTGTGGTACATGGGAGACGTTGACGGCGGCGTTAACACCCAATTTTTGGTCGGATGTGGCGATGATTATTTCATTGTTGTAGCCTGTTATTTTATTGATTCTCAGGTGTATATCACTCGGAGCCATGTACAATCAACACCGAACACGTGAGTCGACTTTTGACCTGGCGTATTACAGCGTATCCTGATATCGTTTTATAGCACTAGGTAAATCTACTGGTGATGCGATAGCGTCCTCAATATTAATACGAACTGTTTTGAGAATCGTAAGCCGTTCCCTTACCTATAATATTAGAACGCGTCTGTGATTGAGACCCCAGAATAGCCCACACGTATGCGTTCGAATCGAATCGTTCAATCTGATAACACCAGCACGCGGTAAAACCCTTCGGCGTGTCCAGCATAAATATTTTCCAGTCATCCGGACCCTGCTCGAACCTCCATACTCGGTAATCCTTGCTGTCATCGAAAGACATGAGATCATCTCTCCACTCGTTACTCGTGGACGTAAGCATTCGCATATGTTTTACCACCCCATTCTTTTAGCTTATTGCTGGCTTCCACGAGGGGCATGTTGTGAACGATAGGGATACCCAACCCATGGTTCGGGCCCGTCAAACGCCAATCCGTCTTTGGGTCTAGTTCGAATTCATTACAAATCCGTTCATACGCACGTCGGTTAACATACGGATTGTTTACTGCATCCCATGCCTTGTCCTGTGGGACCGGGGAGCTGATTTCTTTGAGGATATGCCTTACCTGGTAATACACGTGAAAAGTGAATATGGATTTACTTAGCTCATTACGCCTAGTGTCTGTCAATGTCAAACCACATCCAGTTGTCGCACACCACACGGCAAAATTGAATTGATTCTGCCAGAACTGCATAGGGTTGTGAAACCAATCGTGAACCGTTTTAACATTAGTGACCGAAAACCTATAATTTTTAAACACGGCTATAAACTGGGTTTTGAAGTACGAACCAGCCGTGTCAATCACTATTTTCATGTGTGTGAAGTCATAAGCCTTTATGTTGTCGTTTTTGGGGTAACGTACTTCGGGTTTATACATATTATTATATAATATATAAATATATATAAATATGTACATTACGCTCCCGGGTGTAACGAGCGGTGAGGCCGTTCAACTTGATAACACGCTATTGATAACACGTCTGGTCAACTCGAAATAGCACTATGTGATATAACCTACTACCCGCGATGGACAAACATCAACAGCAATAATAATAATGTGTTCTTTGGTGGATTCCTACGTAAAATAACAGATGGATACTACAGCGTGTGTTCTCTAAATGATGAAGTTTTCAAACCCTTAGGAGTTGAAATCAAAATAAATGACTCAAACGGAACAGTGGTGTTTATGAACAACAGTGCAAACAAATTGAGACTCGGTCGACAGTTGGCGAAGATACTAGGGCTGCCACCAGAAGAAATAAACCCTAAGATTACCGTCACTGGTACGAAGTTACCAGAGCTAGTTCCATACCGCCAGCTATGCGTTCATCTCGATCAGCTTAGCACAACAGATAATGTACAAAGTGAACATCCTTCCACGTTGTTGAGGGCTGTCCCGGTTAAAACAGAAAAATACAATGACGGACGCACCGAGTCGTTTTCATCGCTACAGTATAAAAAATTGATAAATGGTAATATTTCTGAATTAAAAATATCAATTTTAGATACAAAAAATAATCATATATAATAATATGATAATAATATAAATATAGGATACCTCAGCGTAACACTACATATACAATAATGGCTAGCAATCAAGGCCCAGGAATGCAAGTAAAAAGATGCAGTAATGTAGGATTATCAGACCTAGGTGATACTAGGGGGTTTGATGACTCAGGAATAGATGGTAAAATATGAGCTTTTAAGCTTTTAAACAGCATTTACAAACGAGTTGAAGTTCCCGTCGTCGGTGGATCTGGTAGTACTTTTAACCTAGACACATCAAGATCTGCCAGCAACACTCGATACGATATAGTTCGCAACAACGAGGATGAATGGAGAATATACCCATCGTTCGGTGGTAAATTGTTCGATTTAGAAGACTTTGACACAACGAACGTTGATCAAAACAAACCGTACTATATAATGCTCACTAACGACAACAAGTGGATGATGTTAACATCTCGAATCAACTGGTTTCTCAACATCACACTAAGTTCCCCATACGTATTCACAGAAAACAAAGACCACTTACTGAACAAAGTCGTTAACAACGGAACCCTAATTGTGGCTTACGTCCCATCAGAGAGACACAGTGTAATCATCAGCCCACTCTCGGCTATGTTAGCCCACATGCTATCGGTTAAACCAGGTGAGAAAAACTCGGTATTGAAGTTGGTGTCTGAATTTGACGGCGTGATCAACATCTTGCAAAATCTATCGGAGAATTCCACGCTGCTCATCCAAGTCTACCTAGGTCAATCAACGCAGAGTGAGATTGAGATCGTGAAGGGAATCAAACTCCAGTGGGCTAAAAAACACCAGTATCGCGTTTGCTCTATTTACGTCCGGGTGGGAGATGATTCACACACCAGTCTGCAGGGTGTCACCGTTAACGTGGAAGACACTATATCTATAGCAGGTATTTTTCTATCCGAGAACATTCATTTTATGGAATTGAAGTTAACGCCTGACAAATTATCAGAAAAACAATTGGAAACTATTTTATAACAGTTATATAAACAATGGTAAGTCATCACCCCAATGTAACACTCGGTGATCTAGGAGACATAAAGCTGTTCAATTTACCTGGTCAGGAAGACACCCCGTACCTACTATACTATAAAGACGGCGATATCTGAACGCAATGCCACTAGCAGATTTTTCAGAGCTTGAATGGTTAATTAAAATAACACTAACCTCACCTTACATCTTTTTTAATCAAAATGATTTCATTTCCAAAATTACAAACGGGATTCCTCTCACGTCCTTTAATCCCTTCAAAGAAAATACTGTTCAAGTATTACGAATACCAGGGCACACTGGTAACATGTTAGCTCCAGTCGGCTTGAATGCCAGTTTATTCATTCACAGCATTTACGATTACCAAAGTGATTTTTTTTCCAATTCAAATTATGGTATGAAATCACACATCACGCTAGTTATAGACGTATATCTCGCAGAGATATCCAGTCCAAGAATACTTTTAGACGGCCTGAGAATAATTTGGTTTAAAAGACACGAGAATAAACGTTGCCGAATCATAATAAGACAAGGTTATAAACCATTAATAAGCCTAGATGGGGTTAGTATTTTAGACGAAAACACACATATAAATGTCTCACCCATTTACCTGTACAATAATCTAAACCTTATAAGCCTCAAATATATTAATCAAAAATTAAATGACATATAATTAAAAAATAATTTATAAAATATATTATAAACACATAAAATGGGGCTATACCCAGCCATAGATGAAGAAGGAAATATAAAGGGAAGTGTAGAAGGGTTTCGGCTTAAACAGATATGTGAAATAAAACAATCAGCTAGAACAAGACCGTGATATTCGGGCATCGCTACACAAAAAATACAATAGAGCTTTAAACTACATGGATGGGGCTGATACCACTCTTATGACAACTAGCATGGGATTAGGAGCAGTAGGAGTTGGATTGTTGACCACCATCGTAGCCGCACCAGTGGTGTTAGGCCTTGAAATAACAGCTGTAGTGACAGGAATAGCTGGGTCAGTGTTTAAATTTGTATCTCAAGAAATTGAAACGTAAAAGCTAAGAAACACGATGAAATTAGAATTCTTGCTGAAGCAAAGTTAAACACGATAGAAGACCATATTTCCACTGCACTAAATGATAATAAAATCTCAGAGGAAGAGTTTCGTTTGATCCTATGTGAAATCGAAAAATATAAAAAAATGAAAGAAGAGATTCGATCAAAGTTTCATTAAAAAAGTTCTGCTATCGGCGAGAACGAGAATTGTTTTTACATAAACCAAGGGATACAACAAGCCCAACAAGCATTTATTACGAAAACGAAAGACATCATAGAAGATACACGTTAAATTGTTTTGCTGAGGTCAATATTTTAAATTGATGTGATCTTATGGGTTTACAAATTGAGGAATAGATACTTACTGATTGCTTGCCTTATATAGGATGACCTCATACACCATAGTCTTACTCTAAAGAGTAAGACTATGGTTACTTTTTATCTCCCTTTAAAGTAGTTATAGTCTTACTCGAAAGATAAAAATTATTTGTGTTATGGGTTTATGATCCCGTACCACATAGTCTTTCGAGTAAGACTGTGGTTACTTTTTACAAGGGAGATAAAAAGTATTTGTGTTATGGGTTTATGGTCCCGTACCACATAGTCTTTCGAGTAAGACTATGGATACTTTTTACAAGGGAGATAAAAAGTATTTGTGTTATGGGTTTATGGTCCCGTACCACATAGTCTTTCGAGTAAGACTATGGATACTTTTTACAAGGGAGATAAAAAGTATTTGTGTTATTAGTTTATGGTACCGTACCACATAGTCTTTCGAGTAAGACTATGGTTACTTTTTACAAGGGAGATAAAAAGTATTTGTGTTATGGGTTTATGGTCCCGTACCACATAGTCTTTCGAGTAAGACTATGGTTACTTTTTATCTCCCTTTAAAGTAGTTATAGTCTTACTCGAAAGATAAAAAGTATTTGTGTTATGGGTTTATGGTCCCGTACCACATAGTCTTTCGAGTAAGACTGTGGTTACTTTTTACAGGGGAGATGAAAAGTAGTTGTGTTATGGATTTATAAATTAATATGAGTTAGGAATAGATACTTATTGATTCCTTGCCTTATATAGGCTGGTCCCGTACCCCCATTGTTTATACTACTCGGGTTCGATCCCCGACCGCGTCATAACAAAAGACGTTAAAATATGGTACTTGTTGGTCCCTGCCTGGCGCTCGGCATTAATGGGTACAACAAGGACTGGTCGGCTCGGAGTCAGTATACTGTGTCTGAGTGGGGTACTTATGCTTCACTGCTTGACATGGTATCTCAGTGAGCTAGCACTATAATACCAGCTTAAGTCTGGGCTAGTACAAACAGCCGCACATACACACATGCATACACATGTGATGCACGCCGTCATATTAGCGAAATATTCTCAAGCACGATGTTAAACCCAATTTCACCTCACCTTGAATAGGTGCTTAAACTGGGTATAGGTATTTCTGTAATCATTATCTTCTATCAAAACATTTCTGTCCTTTATTTGTGACATAATTGAAATGTAATCATTTCAGAAATCTGCTGCAAATATCCACCATTCTCCATGCAATCATTTTGTACACCATGCACCATAAACCCTCACAGATACCAACAAATATTTCTGTAATTTCCACTCAGTTTGTAATTTGTATTTTGAAAATGTTGTATTATGATATTTTGGTATTTTGATTTACAATTTAACTGTGTTTATCTTCAGATTTCTTGAACATTGTTTCACACCTCTTTGTTGTATACCTGCTATATATCTCAAAACTGTTAATGTGTCAGTGCTAACTTCAAGATAAAGGCACAAATTTCTGAAGTAAAGTTGGGAAATTGTTAATTTGTGAAGTTTGAAATTGAGGTATTGATAGATTCAAAATATTGCGGTTCGAGATAGCAAATTGCCAAATGGAAATCAAGGACAGGTAATCTGAGATTGCAAGAACCATAAAATCATTAAATAAATTAAAATCAACAATAACATTCATAAAAGTTGTCCAACGTACATATAAAATTACTATTTCCATACTTTTGTGCGATCATGCAATGTAAGTCAAGTCACTGACAAGTTACATTTCGGCTTTCACCGCCTCCGTCTTGACGCCCGCACACGATGCTTAATGTGAAAATATATGCATGAAGCATTTTTGTCATAGGCCATAACCTAGCACGATATGTCCAATACGCTCCATAATTTACGTGATAGGTAGCGATGTCTTTCTTAATATGTTCAGAATAGCATTATTTTACCCAAAAACTTTCGTCTTAATCTAAAAGTTTTGGCTTCACGAAGAAGGTATCCATTTCCATAATATGATTGGCTGCTTAGGTCACGTGTCTGATTTTGACCAATCACGACCCTTATAAGCAGAGTGTACTGAAAAAGCGCCGTTAGAAACCAATCTTTATCCAATAAAATCGCTTCTTACAAATGTGAAAATACTCTTGGCAAGAGTACAGTGATATTGTTGATGTTCAGAGCTTTCAACAATACCCGCCATCAAACGATTCGCCTCTATGTAAGTGACACGTGCCACTCACTAATTAACAAGAAACTGATTGACACTTCTCGCTTCTGAATAATCTCGGAAGTCAATACCCGCCGAATCAACAAAATGTAAACACTTGCTTGTTTATACAGTCAAACTGCCCACTACATGTATTAATTACTCTGGGTAAGTGTTGCATTACCACTCACTGATTAACAAGATACTGATTAACACTTCCGTTTCTGAATAATCTCGAGTCACAGCGAATTGTGTTGTTACATCATTTGGACCCAATTGCATCAAAGGGTTACGCCGTCTTTCATGTGCCGGTTTTTACAGATTCGTTTTCATAACAACTTGTTCGTTGGGACTGAAAAACAATGCCGATATCCTGAATAGACAGATGCCGATGTTTACAGAAGTTTCTAAATGATAATAACGTGCATTTCTGCCGGGACCGAAACTTTGTGCCGATGTAGACAGAGTGCCGGTGTTAAGAGAGGCCGGTATTGACAGAGTCCACTGTAAAGCTATAGTTTGTCATGCAAATATTTATTTTCAACATCTGTTACCAAAACAAGAGGATGCAGATGCATTTAAATCTATTTGAGTATCACATCCACTGGGGTAATCAGTATGAACTGTTTATTTAGACAAATCTCTGATATTTACTACACATTTTGAATTTGGAAAGAAATAGATCACTAAACAAACATAAACAATGACTCATTATATAGCACTGACTGACGGACACATCTTATGAAGGATGGAAAATTATTGGTAAATATTATATTTCAAAATATGATGACAATGTAACACATGTTATATTTGAGATGTGAGCTGGAGATTAGGTGCCTGACTCTGAGGGTGTGGTTTCAAATCCCAGATAGGACTCAGCCCAACAAAAGTACTAGAATCTGTACTTTACTAAGAAAGTGTAATCCCCAATGTTATGTGTTACATTTGACCACTTTCTAAATGACATTGTGAATTCACATGATGACAAGTATCTGTGCTGTAACCAAGTAACTGCTTGGATGATAGATGCATGAACAAAATATAATTTCAAGATTTTTAAAAAGTAAAGTCAGATGTATGAGGAACTGTTGATCACAACTTAACATTTATAACCATGTGTTACATTCAGCACATTATTTCTTCAATTATGTATGTATAGTCATGTGTGTATAATAATTATAAATCCGCGATACAACCGAAGGATGTAGTTGTATCACTGATTTATATTTCATCGATGTTATTGAGACTTATCAAGCCTTGTGTTCTAGCATGGAGGTGAGGTGAAATTGGGTTTAACGTCGTGCTTGAGAATATTTCGCTCACATGACGATGTGCATGCGTGTGTATGTGTATGTGCGGCTGCTTGTACTAGCCCAGACTTAAGCTGGTTTTATAGTGCTAGCTCACTGAGATACCATGAAATAGAAGGTTTGTTGCTTCCATTTTTCATCAGATACGTGAACTCGTCATCTGCAACTGAAGGGACCCTGTACATCGCAGTAGTTCTAAACCAATTGTTCTTTTAAGCACTGATGACAGCAGTATCACAAATGTGTGTGAAACTAAGCGAGATAAACTTCACTCGAACTGTAGGCCGAAGTTTGCTTTTGTAGCATCAGATACGTTTTTGTCAGATACGTGTAATAGCATGTGAACATTCAGAGTTTGTGTTCCAGTGCAAACTTATCTCAGTTTAATATAATTATAACACTGATACAAGAGCACGCTACTTCCGCCCATTGTTTTTGGCCGAGACAGATCTCAATTTGACGAAGATCGCTGAGGATTTGTTAGCCGACACTGGTAAGTGAAGTTCGAAATCATATACATTATTCAACAGTTGTAGTTAATTTATAGCTTTGTATGAATTGTATTGAATAAATGTGCATCTATGGACCCACATATATCAGAAATACAAAACCTTCGACAAACTCGCTGCATTCACCGAGTTATGTACTTAATGTATCTAATTTGGTGTTAACGCATTTGATATGATTAAACGATCAGTTTAAAGAATTGATGTGCATTGAATCACACAAGCAATAGGTATGATGCATGTTTTAGTGATACCTACAGAATTAATTTATGGTCTGGTTTCTAGCTGTAACATATAGACTGATAATGTATTTAACATATCTGATAAAATTGATTAACGTATTTAACGAAAATGTTATATTCTGACATGGATTAAACAAATCTCAATAGACAATTATTCAATGACGCACAGTACGTTTGCAATTTTCCATTTACCAATAAACCCCCTGGCTAAAAAGAAACAGAAACAGGTTAGAGAGAATAATAGATTATACAGTCAGCGGTATAGGGACAGACAAAACCAGAAAATGAAGGGAAAACAAAACAAGACACTAGAAGTTGTTGAATCAAAGATATCCCAGTATTATCATTTGGTCTTTTGTTCATGTTGCATTGAAATTGTAAATGTTTGAAATGATATCTGCAAGCATCAGATACGTTCACTAAATCTGATCAGATACGTTAACTGTGTGAATCCCAATGGTTTTGTTGTGGTTTTTAAATACATACATACATACATACAAATACTTATATAGCGCCAATATCCGTAATCCGCTCAAAGGTGCTCTGGCTCTAAGATGGTCAAGATATCACATATAGTTCAAATGCTTCACCAAAGAGACATGTCTTCAGATTTGATTTAAAAACAGCTAAATCTGGTTGTGTTCTGAGGTGAGATGGAAGATTGTTCCAGAGATGAGGCCCAGCCATCTCAAGTGACCTGTCACCATATGTTTTTGTCCTAGTCACAGGAATTGTCAAAAGACACTGGTCATTTGATCGGAGAGAACGTACAGCAGTATAACGGTGGAACAGATCACAGAGGTACTGAGGAGCTAGACCATGTAAACTTTTAAAACAAGTTTTATATTTTATGCAGTAGTGGACGGAAGCCAATGAAGTGAGTGAAGAACAGGAGTAATGTGGTCCGATTTCTTTGACAGAGACCACTCTGGCTGCAGTATTCTGCACCTTCTGAAGCTTGTGTATAAGATTGTTTGGGAGGCCAGCAAGAAGCGCATTACAGTAGTCAAGACGAGATTACATATGCCTGAACAAGAGATGCTGTAGTCTTGACGCCCAGGTATCGTCGAATCATGCCGATGTTACTTAATGTGGTAGTACCTCTCTCGACAGATGTTATTGATGTGTGGCTCCATGGACAGTGAAGAATCAAAAATAACTCCCAAGTTTCGCGACCTCATGGTTTGGCTGAATCTCACACTGACCGATGCTGAATTTAGGAAGAGAGATACTGGGTTGGAGACGCTTTTAGGGTGGAAAACTATGAGTTCAGTTTTATCATCATTCAGTTTGAGGTAGTGTGACGACATCCAGATTTTGATGCAGCTAACACACTCTTCAATGGTGAGAAATGAAGACACAGCTGATGAGGAAAGTAAGGGTTTGAATGATATGTAAATTTGAGTGTCGCCAGCATATAAATGCAGTCCAAGGTTGAAGGATCTGACGATATCACCTAGAGGAGAAGTATAAATAGTGAAAAGTAGAGGTCCAAGAACCGATCCCTGAGGCACGCCATAAGCAAGATCCTTAGGACTGGAGATGTGACCATCAATGATCACCGACTGATGTCTACCTGCTATGTAGGACTCAAACCACTGAAGAGCAGTTCCTCTAATACCCATCCTGGTCTCAAGTGTATGCATCAGAATAGTATGGTCGATAGTATCGTAAACTACTCAAATCAAGTAGAACCAATACTGCAGCACCATCTTTGTCTACGGCTCTCAGTATGTCATTGTGCACTTTAACGAAAAGCGGTTTCCGTGGAGTGGAAATTCGTATGCTGATTGCATGACTTCAAACACCCATTTAAGGTCATGTGTTCCTTGAGTCTTGTTGTGACCACACGCCAATCAATTTTGAGGTGAATGGTAAATTTGTGACTGGTCGATAATTTTTTAAAAGCTCTTGATCTAAACCTTTCTTTTTCAGGAGTGGAGGACAACTCCATTTTTCAATGTATCCGCATCATACCTTCCTGGAGAGATTTATTGACAACAGAGGTCAATATAGGGGCAAAGGTATCTAGAGAGTTCTTGAGAAGCCATGTAGGTATAGGGTCAAGAATACATGACTTCGTCGGTGACTTAGAAACAAGTTTCACAATCTCTGCTTCTGTTGCTGGTTGGAAATGGGATAGGCATGGAAAAGCAGCTATTGATTGGGGCTCAATGTGTGGAAGGTCATCATGTGAAAGTGAGTCTCTGATTGTGGAAATCTTCTGAGAAAAGAAGTCTGAGAACTTGTCAACTAATTGATCAAGGGATGAATGAGATGGCAGAGTCAGGGAATTATCCTTAAATATCCTTAAATGATAGTATAGATGTGCATTTCCAGTTACAGTTGTGATTCTAAACCTGGCTGTCAACGTGAATATATAATACTAGCAAAGTGCGTGCCTGCATTGGACATCTCGTCATGGTTATGTTAATTGACTGAAAATTTGACGCATGAATATTCAGAATAAAATATGGAAAATCATTGTTGTTTTTAATATTTTCCAATAGTTCTACTTATTTTGTTATTGTCTTGTGTTGTATTAAATAATTATGAATTACGTAGCATTCGCAAGATGCAACAGGTTTTCTTTCTAGCTGGTTTAAAATATGTATCTACTTAACGTATCTGACGTTCAACAAAATGACTACTCTTTTTCACCAGTCGATATTTTTATAACCATTCTTCATTTGTGTCCACCAATTACAGATTCTGAAAGACAGTATCGTAGATTATCTCGACAAGCTTTTAAATTATTAGAATTGTTTACTTCTTCTTTTTCTATCACAAAATCTCAGAAAATGTGCATTTTGCGGAGAATGTGTGTTGTATGAACAGTATGAAGAGCAGGGTCGGAAATAACTTTAAAATTGCTAGTGTACTCCAGTACAGTGGCACATGTAAAATCACTTGCCCGGATAATTTTTCCACTATACCAGCCATTTTCTTGTTGATTTTTAAATAAACAACATTATTATCATTGGAAAGTCAACTGGACACGAGTACAGCGTGATATACAAATTTGCTTGCCCGACAGAAAAAAAACACTGGACTCGGACGTCGGGCAATAGGTTATTTCCACCTCTGAAGAGTAGCAAATTTGTAGCACTTCACTTGTATTTCTTTTACATGGTAGGGCTAGATTATATTACATATATTAAACTACATATAAAACATGCAGTGATGCACCTTAGCAGCCTATTACTGAAATATGCAACCAACTATTTATGTCTATTGCACAACCTGCATGTTAAAACAGTTCAAACTTGTGTTTTTATGAACCCTTAAATGTCCACATTACACCAATCATTTAAGACATTCAAAACATTTAAGCTATATTTACAGTCCTACATAGCATTTGACTTAAGACTATGCACTATAGAGCAGCATCGTCCACAATGGTTGACCACAGCATCCTGTTATGATGTTTATATTATCCAACTAATTAATATCATTATTTTCAGGAGGTGGGGTAGCCTAGTGTTTGAAGCGTTTGTTCGTCACGCCAAAGGCCCAGGTTCGATTCCCCACATGGATACAATGTGTGAAGCCCATTTCTGGTGTCCCCCACCTTGATATTGCTGGAATATTGCTAAAGGTGGCCTAAAACTACGGTAAACTCATCCACTCACTTATTATGCATTACATGACATCAACATTGCCACATAAGTACTGAAACATTATGTACAGCGTGTATAAAAATCATGACACAGCCCATAAAGATGTGTTTTTATATATATGTTTAGACAAATTTATGGATTTATGTTTCGAGTCCAGTTTCGTAAATCAACACTTAACAGGGACATAGTCAGCTGTTGGATTAACTCAATAAGTGACAAAAGATGATTAAAGAGGTATAGAAAAGTGTTCTGTTCAATATATAGCAGTGATTTCAGTACAAGTGTCTATGAATGCTTCAGGAAATCTTTCACAGAAGTAATGTTTTGATGTATTTGTGATGTATTGCAATCTCTAATAGTCAAAATGCATATTTTCCATTTCTACATTCAAGGTTTTCATATAAGTGATACACTGTTATCACATATCACTGTTTTTTATATATCAGTGCTCCCAAATGTTCACACAATACCTCTAGAGAGTGAGTGGGTATAGTTTTACCCCGCAAAATCATGCCGTGGGACACTAGAAATGTGCTTCACACATCGTACCATGTGGGGAATCGAACCTGGGCCTTCGACGTGACAAGCGAACGCTCTAACCCCTAGACTACCCCACTGCCCCCTGCACCTCTAGATTGAGTAATAGAGCTGTGACAATATATCCTAGTATCGATAATTGTGATACTTTATCTGACGATAAATATATCGATACGTTTTTTCGTATCGTGATATGTATCGTTGACCTTAAAATTGTTAATTTTCATTAGATATTGACGGTTATGTCAAAATTTCTTGCTATTAACATATAATTTTTTAAAGAAAATAACTAAAGAAAGCATATCGTGATATGCATCAAATCGAATCGTATCGTTTCCAAGATATCGCGATACGTATCGTATCGTGAAATTTCTGTATCGTCACACCTCTATTGAGTAAGATGCAGTGGTGTGTACTAGATGTAGACAGAAAGATCTGGAAGGTATTGCAGGGTGCTGGTTCCTAAGCATACCGCCTCATAGTGATGGGAATTGGTTGAAATCTCACAATTGATTCATTACCAACGAGCAATCATCGAGAAAAATTGGTTGGCATAATATTTCAGATTTCCTATTCAGGTTGTTAATGCACATAAGTGTAACATGGTTCTCTGTTGTTTTTTATTTTATTTAGAAAATGTGCCATTTACATTTGCAAATTTCACATTCAATGAAAAATTATGCATCTTGCTACGTCTAATATATCATAAACATAAACCTCCTGGAGTCTTCAAGAAATATTCAGTCATGACTTTCAGTAAGTGAAGTGAATTTTCTAAGAATTAAACATGTTTTCAGGCCCTGACAACTTCTAAGATATGTTCCATCGTCAAGTGTTTCAAACACTAAAACAGTACAGTGGAAGCTGTCTAAACCGGCACTCATCGGGATTAAAGAAATAATCTGGTTTAGACAGTGTGCCGGATTCTACAGATGACACAGTTACTTCCTAGAAGTGAACAAGTTTTGTCACTCTCATATACATTGTTGTATCACAATAAAACATGTCAACTCACTAGTTACATGTACAAGCATACCCATGCTGAACTATCTTTGTCGGCAACCATGTAGTTTCAATGCAGGATTAATTGGTGACAATACACATCCAGTCGAATCCTCACCATGCGCCGGATTAGACAGCGCTGATTACAGTATAAACCCATATTCGGGCGGCTCATTTCATGCCGAGATCCAGAATTGGCAGCTGCCGGATTGCAGAGCCTTTAAATGATGATAATTGCACTAGCCACGGACAGGACTGAGATTTTATGCCGGTGTTGACAACTTGCCGGATTGGACAACTGCGGGTTTGACAGCTTAATCCACTGTAGATCCAAAATCTTTCGTTTTGATTATTAGAAAATGTGATTGATTGCTTAGTCGCTTGGTCACTGCGACCAATCTTCGATTGCCTCAGAGAGTATTGTAGAAATTTCTTAAGTGTATAAGGGGATCTGGATTTTGCCATTCATTTCAAATTACATCTCAAGTTACACTGACTGATTGAGTTTGGTTTACGCTGCTTTTTTGCAATATTCAAGCAACATCACGGCGGGGAACACCAGAAATGGGCTTCACACATTGTACCCATGTGGGAATTCAAACCCGGGTCTTCGGCGTGACGAACCAACGCTTTAACCACTAGACTACCCCACCGCCCTCACAAGTTACAAAAAGGCCAACATTGTGTGTGAGAATCATATACCTTATCAGGGCTATTTTGCGAGTTGGATTACTGTTACTAAAAGGTGAATATTACCATCAGTTACATTATTGCTCAGAGGCCCAGATAAGCTGCGTATCCGGGTAAAATACGCCATAGAAAATTACCAATTACGCATTGAAAAATAATTGTTGCGTACCAATTACGCATTTAAAATGTTGGATACGCAAAAAGTTTAAAACAAATGAGGACAAAATATATTTATAAAAATCGCTTGCATAATGAAAAAGACATCGATTGCTATCAAGTTGTACTGTTAGTATAGGACAAGTGTTGTACTGTCAGTATAGGATGAGTCACGAGTGCTTTTTTATGAAATCATTTCCATTATATTTAACTTGGTTTTGATTAGATAAGGCAGAACATACCTGCTTAGTAAACTTACTCAATGACATAATACTTAGGTGAGTACTATGACTGAAATACGCACATATTTGAAAGCAGTGGGTAAAGGAAAATGAAATACCCACTCAACATTCATAATACCCACTCCAAAAAATTACAATGGGTACAGTACCCACATGAGCTAAATCTTATCTGGAGCTCTGATTGCTACAATCACTTCTCTTGTATTAAATTCCCTTTAAATTTGAACAGCCACTCTGTTTTGAACCACCATAGTGATTCCTTTCTAGTGAGTTGTATTGATTTATGACCTTGGACAATTTTGGAATAAATTTTTTAATTACAATCATATATCTTGTTGCTTGTTGGTTTTACACTTAGTCCCTTTGTGGACTGATTCCCGGTGAACTTTTAACTTAGAAATCAACATATAACAACTGGTAAGTTATAATAATAATAATTAGTACATTTGTATCACGCTAAATCCACACCGACAGCATGCATAAGACAAGATAGAATTTAGGAGTCACTTGTAAAACATAGAGAAAAGGTATGTCTTTAGGTTTGCTTTGAAACATGTGACTGTTGGGCTTGTTCTAAGGTGAGCTGGTAACTCATTCCAGTTCATCGAGGCCGCCACTTGAAATGAGCAAAAACCATAAGATTTCAACTTCCATTTTTGAATGTGAAGTAAGTTTTTGTCACTGGAGTGAAGCTGTCTGCATGGAAGATATGGTTTGAACAGTTCTTTGAGATAGGCCGGAGCAGTGCCTAGTATGCACTGGTAGACAAGGGTTAAAACTTTAAAGTTCACTCTAGCTCTTATGGGCAACCAGTGTAACTGTTTTAGAATAGGGGTCATGCCTGAGAACTTTGGTGCTTTGCTCACAATACATGCAGCAATATTTTCTATGCATTGCAGACGGTTTAAGAGCTCTTGTGGGATGTTTAAAAGCAAGCTATTACAATAGTCTATTCTATTACAATAGTCTAATATTGTAAATGACCATTAAATACCCACCCAGTTGTTTAGGGTTATCTTACCATAGGCTAACACAAAGCCTAGAAATACAGTTTTGTATTGTCAATTACACAGATCTACAATGGAACCCTTACATCTGAAGGAACCAACAAGTCTGTTAATTTCAGGCCATGTGCTGAAGAGTTAATGAATGCAGACAGCTACAGCTGAAGGAGGAGATGAGTATAGACTGTTAGAGCTGAAGAGAAGATGAGTATAGACTACAAGAGGGCATGAGTATAGATTGGTAGATCCAGGGCTCGATTCAAGAGATGTTAACCTACTTGCACCAGGTGCAACCTAAGATGAAAACCTAGTTACACCAGCCAAATTCCAGTTGCATTTCTTTTATTGCAATATGTAATGTAAGAAATATGCTATTGAATTATTTAGATGTTTTATTCAGAATTTACCCACTAAAAGATTGAGTTGCACCTTGTGCAAGTTAGACTAATAACTAGGTTTCACTTTGTAATATTGGGTTGCACCAGTTCAAGTAACAAAGCACTAAATCGAGCAGGTTTGCAGAGCTGAAGAAGTGATGAGTGTAAGTTTGCAGAGCTGAAGAAGTGATGAGTGTAGGTTTGCAGAGCTGAAGAAGTGATGAGTGTAGGTTTGCAGAGCTGAAGAAGTGATGAGTGTAGGTTTGTAGAGCTGAAGAAGTGATGAGTGTAGGTTTGTAGGGCTGAAGAAGTGATGAGTGTAGGTTTGTAGAGCTGAAGAAGTGATGAGTGTAGGTTTGCAGAGCTGAAGAAGTGATGAGTGTAGGTTTGTAGAGCTGAAAAAGTGAAGAGTATAGGTTGGTAGAGCTGAAGAAGTGATGAGTGTAGGTTTGCAGAGCTGAAGAAGTGATGAGTGTAGGTTTGTAGAGCTGAAGAAGTGATGAGTGTAGGTTTGCAGAGCTGAAGACTGACTGACTGACTGAGTTTGGTTTTACGCCGCTTTTAGCAATATTCCAGCAACATCACGGCGGGGGACACCAGAAATGGGCTTCACACATTGTACCCATGTGGGGATTCGAACCCCGGCCTTCGGCGTGACGAGCCAACGCTTTAACCATTAGACTACCCCACCGCCCCCAGAGCTGAAGAAGTGATGAGAGTAGGTTTGTAGGGCTGAAGAAGTGATGAGTGTAGGTTTGTAGAGCTGAAAAAGTGATGAGTGTAGGTTTGTAGAGCTGAAGAAGTGAAGAAGTGATGAGTGTAGGTTTGCAGAGCTGAAGAAGAAGTGATGAGTGTAGGTTTGTAGAGCTGAAGAAGTCATGAGTGTAGGTTTGCAGAGCTGAAGAAGTGATGAGTGTAGGTTTGCAGAGCTGAAGAAGTGATGAGTGTAGGTTTGCAGAGCTGAAGACTGACTGACTGACTGAGTTTGGTTTTACGCCGCTTTTAGCAATATTCCAGCAACATCACGGCGGGGGACACCAGAAATGGGCTTCACACATTGTACCCATGTGGGGATTCGAACCCCGGCCTTCGGAGTGACGAGCCAACGCTTTAACCATTAGACTACCCCACCGCCCCCAGAGCTGAAGAAGTGATGAGAGTAGGTTTGTAGGGCTGAAGAAGTGATGAGTGTAGGTTTGTAGAGCTGAAGAAGTGATGAGTGTATGTTTGTAGAGCTGAAGAAGTCATGAGTGTAGGTTTGTAGAGCTGAAGAAGTGATGAGTGTAGGTTTGCAGAGCTGAAGAAGTGATGAGTGTAGGTTTGTAGAGCTGAAGAAGTGATGAGTGTAGGTTTGCAGAGCTGAAGAAGTGATGAGTGTAGGTTTGCAGAGCTGAAGAAGTGATGAGTGTAGGTTTGCAGAGCTGAAGAAGTGATGAGAGTGGGTTTGTAGGGCTGAAGAAGTGATGAGTGTAGGTTTGTAGAGCTGAAAAAGTGATGAGTGTAGGTTTGTAGAGCAGAAGAAGTGATGAGTGTAGGTTTCCAGAGCTGAAGAAGTGATGAGTGTATGTTTGTAGAGCTGAAGAAGTCATGAGTGTAGGTTTGTAGAGCTGAAGAGGTGATGAGTGTAGGTTTGTAGAGCTGAAGAGGTGATGAGTGTAGGTTTGTAGAGCTGAAGAAGTCATGAGTGTAGGTTTGCAGAGCTGAAGAAGTGATGAGTGTAGGTTTGTAGAGCTGAAGAAGTCATGAGTGTAGGTTTGCAGAGCTGAAGAAGTAATGAATATAGGTGTAGGAGCTGAAAGAGGGGAGGAGTATAGACTGTGAGAGCTGAAGAGGCGATGGGTATAGGCTTGCAGAGCTGAAGAAGTGATGAGTATAGGTTGTGAGTGAGTGAGTGAGTGAGTTGGGTTTTATATTCCAGCAATATCACGGCGAGGGACCCCATAAATGGGCTTCACACATTGTGCCTGGGTGGGGATTTGAACCCGGGTCGTCAGTGTGACGAGCCGACGCTTTAACCATTAGGCTACCCCACCGCCCCGTATAGGATGTGAGAGCTGAAGTCGCAATGAGTATAGACTGCTAGAGCTGAAAAGGGAATACAAGAGCAATGGGTGTGACTATATTAAAATGATCATCTAGGGTCTGTAAGAAAGACTAATCTTACCATAGCATTCTCCAGTGTGTGTGTTAAAGAATCCTGCATTGGTTGCCAGGATACAATGTTTCTGTTTGGCACTCTCCCTCACAGTGGCTCTCTCGGCACTCCCATTTAAGCATGTCCCAGGAGTACCAGGCTCAAGAACCGAAAAGGTTTTCACAGGGTTATTAACTTTTTGAAACAGCACTGTGACAGTCCTCTTGTTATAGTAATATTCTCCTATACTCTTCAGCTGATGCCTGGACTCGACGAGCGGCAGAGTCAAATTCACACTGCTGTGTGCTTTATGCTTCGAGTGTGTAAGGTTTCCATATTTTATATGTTGGCAGTCCCGCACTTCTCGATGAGTTCGACGTCCACCATGACGCGACAAATATGGCTGCAGCAAGTCCATTCCATCATCAATGACTTTCTGACCACTGTAAGGCAAAGCATAATAAATTAATATTTATAATAAGCACATCTTCTGCTATATTATTGATATCAGATACCTTTTGTGAAATGTCATGAGTTCTCAAATAATACTGAGTGAGTGAGTGAGTTTAGTTTTGCGCCGCACTCAGCAATATTCCAGCTATATGGCAGCGGTCTGTAAATAATCGAGTCTGGACCAGACAATCCAGGGATCAACAGCATGAACATTGATCTACTCAATTGGGATACGATGACATGTGTCAACCCAGTCAGCGAGCCTGACCCCCCGATCCCGTTAGTCGCCTTTTACGACAAGCATGGGTTACCGAAGAACAATTCTAACCCAGACCTTCACGGGTATAAATAATACTGATGAGGCTTTGAGATTCAAGGTATTACATATCCTTGTTCTACTGAACTCAGTACAGTTAAACCTTGTAGTATCAAAACATCCTTATCCATGTGCTTAGTGGTTAAGGCGTTCGCTCGCCACGCTGAAGACTCGGGTTTGATTCCCCACATGGGTACAATGTGTGAAGCCCATTTCTGGTAATCCCGATGTGATAATGCTGGAATATTGCTAAAAGCGGCATAAAATCATACTCACATATTCAGTTTCACTACAATCTGCTTGGGCATTGAAACTTATATGTTGTAACATGTTGCATGAGAACCAGGTATTTAACTCTCAAAACGTGACGTTTGGTTTTCAGAAATTCACTTTGTTTTTTTCTCAAACGTGGATAATAAAACATTTTTCCAGGTTCTGCTGGGTCCAACAGCCATGTCAAAAAACCGATAAAATAAAATAAATAAAATTGGTCTGGCCTAATGTATGTATCCGTAATCACATCACCAGACAGTTTTCTAAACTAAAGGTATTCCTGAAGTCAATGTGGTTTGCCCCTATATATTTCTAATCTACAAACTGTAACACTGGAGTGATGACCCCTTCATGAACAAACTTCATTTCAAGGTGAGGTGAGGTGAAATTGGGTTTAACGTCGTGCTTGAGAATATTTCGCTCACATGACGACATGCATGCGCGGCTGCTTGTACTAGCCCAGACAGAAGCTGGTTTTATAGTGCTAGTCCACTGAGATACCATGCCGCAGTGAAGCATGAATACCCCACTCAGACACATTATACTGACTACGAGCCGACCAGTCCTTGTTGTACCCATTAATGCCGAGCACCAGGCAGGGACCAACAAGTACCATATTTTAACGTCTTTTGGTATGACACAGTCGGGGATCGAACCCGCGACCTTCCGCTCTCCGGGCGGACGCTCTAACCATTACACCACGGAGGCGGTTTTCATTTCAAACACTATTAGGAGATAAAGCTTCGCCATAATAATACAGCTTCAAGTTTAACTAAACCAAAGAACAGTATCAACATTAATATTCAACTGAATTATGGTCCATGTCAGAAGTTAAATACTCACACTAATGATCTAAACATGGCAGGATGATTTTAACACAATGAACATGGCAGTTTACACAGCATTACTAAATCAGTTATCATGAAAAAGGGCTCGAAAAAATTAGACCTACTTAAACCTGGTACAACCTTATTTAGAGACTAGGTGAAAACCAGGTTGCATTTGTTGCTCAGGCCAGACCAATTTTATTTATTGTTTTACGGCTCCGTGGTCGTAGTTTTTTCACCACCGTATAGCTGGAATATTGCTGAGTGTGGCATAAAACAAAACTCACTAAACTCGTTTTTTCAAGAATAAAGGTTAAAAAAATATTTAATTTGTTCCCTGCTCAAAAAATAAAATCCTTATGTTTTTATTGGCCAAAAATGTAAACTTACAAGAAAAATCTTTTGGGATTGTTTTTTGCCCCATATACACTTCATAAATTGCCAGAAGCAAAATACTTTTAGTATTTAAAAGTAATATTACTATGACTGGTGATTTATATTTTTTTTCCCTCCTGCCTTTAGGTTTTCTGAGAGCATCTGTAAAACAAGAAATAAAATTGGTCTGGCCTCAATATACAATTGTATAGGATGCTTGAGTTTTGGTATTGATTATTTACAAAATCAATGAAACAAAATGATTCTGGGTCTGATAATTTCATGAAGAGTAACAGTCATCCAATCTATGCAGTCAGAGTCAATGTTCCAATCCAGTTCCTCATATTTCTGTTTTCCAAGTCTGTTTTCGTTGAATAGCAACAATATTTTGTAGTTTGTAGATTCAGACTAATGCAAGTTCTAAATGCTTAAATCGATTCCTGTGAATCATGAACCGTTTGATTTACAGCTATCAGCTACAACCACACCATTGCTAGTCGTGTCACACTAGTTTGTGCAGTGACACTTTCAAGGACACAAATGGTATTGTACTCGTGTTACATATTTACAACCCACATAAACCTGTCATGACCAGACCAGTCACAGATGTAACACGCAAATACGTATTATGTTTATTGCAACAAATTACCAGTTTTATCATATTTTTATCAGACTGCCCTTTTTTTTTAACTGATGCTACATGTTATACAAATGCAAAAACAATGATGCATAAATAAGGGTGCAAGAGCCAGATGGAGCATGAATTATTACAGCCATGTGCCTAATATCATTGTTTATTTGGATAACTTTCAGGATACCCAGGGGAGTTGGGGTAGCCTAGTGGTAAAGCGTTTTCGCTCGTCACACTAAAGACCCAGGTTCGATTCCCCACATGGGTACAATGAGTGAAGCTCATTTCTGGTGTTTCCCCACCGTGATATTGCTGTAAAATTGCTAAATAAAGTAAAAACAACCTCACTCACTCACTCAGGATCCATCCAATATAATGGAACATTCTCCTCATGACCCACTACCATGTACTTTGTCGTGACCCCCATCCCTTCCTGTAATTAATGAGTCTAGTGGTTAAAGCACATGGGTACAATGAGCAATTACTGAGCTGGGTAGCCTAGTAGCCAAAGCATTCGTTCGCCACACCGAAGACCTGGGTTCCATTCCCCACACTGGTGCAATGAGTGAGGCCCATCAGGCCCCGATTTCTCGAAACAAACTTAAGTTTTTACTCAAATTTCAAACTGAGTTTGACAATTTGAAACAGCTGAATTTTGAACTCAGCTGCATCTTTTTAATAAAAAAGCCCAAAATACTTAAGTATTCTATTCACCAAACTCAATTTGTCTACTATGTTTGAGTTCAATATCGATTTCAGTTCATTCTGGGAAATGCATTTTCTCAAATTTGAGTAAAAATTTGAACTTAAGTCAAAACTCAGACTTAAGTTTGTTTCGAGAAATCGGGGCCTGGTGTCCTCTGCCAGAATTACTGACATTGATATAGCTCAAATCTGCATAACACCATAGTCACTCACAATAATATAAGAGGGGTGGTGAGGTATCCTAGTGGTTAAAACGCATGCTCGTCACGCAAAAGACCCATGTTCGATTCCCTACGTGGGTACAATGTGTAAAGCCCATTTCTGGTGTCCCCTGCCATGATATTGCTGGAACATTGCTAAAAGCGGCGTAAAACTAAACTTACCCACCCACAATAATAAATGACCAGCCCCAAAGTAATGTTCAAAGTTATTATCATTTTTTTTCATGTGCTCCATGCCACTTTTAGACGTAATATAACTTGACAAACACCCTCTTATATTGTGTTAGTTTTTCATGCCCCCCCTCCCTATTCTCACCCCCTGGGGTTTATATCTTCTTATGCAAGTGTCCCCAGGTGGGTTGGAGTAAGTCCTATGTATTCTATGTTATTATTAAAAGGTCTCTCAACAGATCGGATGGCCAAGCTTATTGACTTGTGAGTCATGGTAACATGAACGCATGGTTTGTTTTTCACAATATTCGTCAATCTACTCTCTTTCCAGAATTGATTATTTGCAGGGTACCATTACACTGAATATTTCAGCAGTAAAGCAGTTTACCGGGTGCAGCGTATAAAGTACTAAATTGCTGACAGTGTCTTGCTTCACAGAAAGCGCAAGGCTCTTTGATCTTCAGGGTTAGTTGTGTTCGAGTTATGTCGGCTTCTCTCAAATTTATCCTTGGTAAGACCTTGGATCCCCTTTCCAATCAAAAACAATGGTTTGGCACCCTTTCAAAATCCTTTGGGTTATTTGTGAGGTAGGGAGGGTTAATTTGTTTGTTTGTTGTTCAATGCAACACTCAGCAATATTCCAGCCATACCGGGTGGTCTGTAAATAATCAAATCTGGATCAGACAATCCACTGATCAACATCATGAGTACGATCTCGACAATTGGGATACGTTGAAAAGTCAGCGAGTCTGACCACCCTATCCTGTTTGTCACCTCTTGTGACAAGCATGGGTTGTTGAAGACCAAATCTTACCTGGATCTTCACAGGTGAGGGAGGGTTACTGTAAATCATGAAATTAATGCGAGCATTTTATTAATGCGTAAAATGCGTCTGTAGTCTTCTTGCATTATTATATGATATAATGACGCATTTCAGTCTGACCATGTCTACTTATTAAAAGACAGAAAACGTAATTCTGTTGACACTACACATTACACCAATACAGGTCACTTCCTCATTACGGGTATCTCAAACCACATGTAATTATCACTGGTCATTGTTTAAAGTCACTCAAGCACATCAGCCAGACCGGACATTCTCCATCCACGTGTTTGTTGTACCTTGGTAGATGTCTTGTGTCTTTCAAGTCGGATTACGTTTATACATGTTGTCATAAGCAAGCTCTTGATAAAAAATGGCAGCGTAATCAAAACATCGTCAGCTCATTTCCATTCATTGCTTAACAAGCTCAATTCAGGTTATTTGGTAAATAACAAGTGTGACAACAAAAAGAACAACACCAAAGATTCAGGGTGTCACATTTTATCATCAACACAGATTCCTGAGCTCGCATTAATTTCGTGACGCATTTTAGTATAGACCCTAGCAATCGCATTAAATTTGTGACGCAGTAATTTCATGATTTACAGTAATTATGAGCTTGGCTAGGATATCTCTTTTTATAAAGAAATCCAATGTACCTGCCGGAAACAGTTTTTACTAGGGTTGAAAGTTCGCAGAAAAAACATTTGTACCACTGTATAAAGACAAAACAACCAGATGTAACATAAGCGTATGTCCCCGGATGGGACTCAACCCAACAAAAGTACTAGAATCTGTACTTTACTGAGAAAGTGTAATCCCAAATATAACATATGATACAATTGACCACTTTCTGAAATGGCATTTTGTATTTCATAACCAGAGGTAGATAACTTGGCAAACGTTCACAAATTATTTGTGACAATACTCACGGTAAAGTGTTCACTAATTGCACTGACTAATTAGCTTAACCTGAATCTGGCAAAGTTTTGTGTTCCTTCATGTCATATTAATTCAAGTATGAAAATGTGTAATTGACCAGTAAACATGATGAAGTGCAGAAGGGGTCATTGTCGCCATGGGTACTACACATGTGTACACCAGATGGCAGATGAGTTTCTGCATTTTGTTTAGGGTACATATCTACCTGGGGTACACATCTGAAGTACCTGTGTTTCAGGTAAAGTACACTAATCCTAATAATAAAGTAATATTTCTGAGCATGGCAGTTAACATTTTAAAATGTATCTGTGCACTCGCAACTCATAATTTTTGTGTTATGCCATGGTGGATTTCTCAGCATATTTAAACGCACATATGAAGCGTCTTTGAAACCATGACCTACAACATAAGCTTATCACCCTTACTATTCCTGCAATTGAAGCCGATTTACAGGGCTGACTGGGTGGCAACATGTACCGTTTATCACAAGTCATTAATTCAATTTGAATAGATAAACATAATTAATGTCCAGGATTTTCGGGGACATATGTTCAGTGTCCTTTTTTCGTCGCTCAATGTGATAATTCACAGGTGATGCTTATGATGGGGTTTCAGTCGTTCATGAAAACTGCTGTTGCAATCCCTAGAACAGGCGTCATAAGACTCATATTCAAGTTGTATATATATAGCGTGTAATCAACGGTGGTTTTCTATGGAACTGTGAATCGTAGAGACGTGACAATACCTGCATATTTGAACCGAAACACCAATTAATGCCAGAGTGACCAATCTGAAGACTATCGTCATCCCCAGAGCTGATGTCAAACTGATTTCTCGTCGACATTCATTTCCTCCATCTGTTGTCGCTGAGCTCTTCTCTGGTGGGAGGTAAATAAAGTACGGTTGATACTGGTTCGCATATGGAACAAAATCGAAATTTGATTCAACAAAACAAAATATAAACTGCGATAAAACAGGAATCGCATCTATCTGTTATATATTCCATCTTCAAGAGAGGCAGAATGACAGGGTGTGCTTGCATATTGAATTATTTAAAAGTAAAGTATGTTATAAAAATTATGAGGAAGAATTAGTTGTTAGTCTTAGATGATATTACAACGTTCTTAAGCTGGTTCCCGGCTCCCTTTGCGCGCTCTAATGTTCGCCAAAGCTTTATGCGAGACGGGGCCCAGCTTACAACGTTCTCTGATGTCCTGTGTTATGGCTGTGTTATTGTCGTGCAACAATGTTCCAAGTGTACTTGTTGACGTACAGCAAGGAGGCAGAAGTCATTTTGTGATGTTTCCATGTTAACTATGCTATTTTTCACAAACCACCACTGCTACATGAAAGAATAAATCTTCGGGTCCCATTCTTAAGAATTGCGGTCAAAATGCCCCGGAATTTTGGTCAAATCGCCCCAGGGTTGGGTCAAATTGCCCCAAGGGGGTCGTCAAAATGCCCCAATTTATTTTAAATGGTTCAATATATGCCATAAATGCATAGATTTTGTCAACTTCCATATTATATTCTATACATAATATTATATAGTAATATATATGATAAATTGTCTATTAGTATGCTGATAAGAGCAAAAGTAATATTCATGTATAGACAACACTCTAGTACCAATTATTCCGGGGCATATTGACCAAACTGCATGGGCGGATCCAGGAATTTTGAAAGGAGGGGTTTCAGGGGGTTCGAACCCCCTGACCCACCACCCCCCTTGTCTCCGCCAACGCAAAAATAATATCTTCAATGTGATCTTAAGTCATTTTCAAGGGGGGGTCGAACTCTGAACCTCCTTTTTTTCCCCTCTCCCCCTCTGGATCCGCCCCTGAACTGGCTGGGGAGTTTTGTAGCTCGGGCGATTTGACTAGCACCAAAACTATGAACAGGGATTTTATAATTTTTGAGAATGCATGTGACGATTCATGCACTGTTCCACCGAATCATGTAAAACAATAAAGTCAAGGTCAAATGTCAAGGTCACAGTATTCGGATTTGTTGCTATTGTTATAAAGTTTAAATGAATTTTTATTCAAGAAAAGTACAACAAACCCATTCTTGAGAATTGCGGTTTAATTCGTGATAGAATTGATGCTATCACTGCTTGGTAATAAATCTAGGGATATAGAACATAATAACTGCATGGGAGTAACATATTCTAACAGTCTCTTGAAGTAGGCCTTTTAGTTAACGGTGAATCACCGAGGAGTAGTTAAGTAGTTCTCCGATCACGAGGAACGACATGGGACCATGGAATGATGTAACTTTAAATAAACGAATCAGAAATATTGTATCTCGACATGTGACAAGGGCGGAGCAGGCTCAAAACTATACCATCTGCACTAGCAAGTGCATGGTGCGGGGTACAAAGTCAGCAGAACGTTCGCATAATGGAGATATCTTCTAGAAGGACATTAGCTAAATAAAAACTTAATTCTAAACATGATATATTCAAATCAGTTGAGTATTTTTTCTCCTGTGATCCAGCGACATCAGACACCCAATACTTTTAAAAGGCCAATGTTTGTTTATATCAAACATAGATGATTTGTCAAGTCATTAGATGTTTATGTCATTGCTTTATTTAGACTGACTGACTGAGTTTAGTTTTACGCCACTTTTAGCAATATTCCAGCAATATCACGGCGGGGGACACCAGAAATGGGTTTAACACATTGTGCCCATGTGAGGAATCGAACCCGGGTCTTCGGCGTGACGAGCCAACGCTTTAACCACTAGGCTACCCCACCGCCCCGCTTTATTTAGAGGTCAAGGCACAAGGACAGACCTTGGATACAGATGAAGATCTCCTGTGATTATTTCTCCCGCCTCTTCATTTGATAACTGAAAATGTACGGATCCCCTGCCACTCAGCCAAGTTCTTACTTGAAGTTTAAGAAATACATAAATATCATCTAAACCAGAATTATCTTTTGTTGACTATGTTGCTGTCATAATCAAACTTTTAACTGCTCAAGAAAATGGATTGTGGGACACCGATGTATAGACTTGAATCATTTGTGATAAATATGGCATTGAAAATTGTTTTGAAATAAGCATAATATATTAATGAATTGTATTCAGAAACATTTTAGATTTTTCATGATTTTTCATCAAGCTATCCAGAGCTAGGTGTCCATCAAAGACAGGGAGAGTGGTTTAATTGAGTTGCTGTTTCAAGAATAGAGCCCAACTTGAAGAATGTTTTGCTTGCTATGTGATAGCATTGGGAGATTTGTATACAAACATTTATGGCTACGTGAGAACCAACGTTGGCCTACCGTAATTGGCTCAATGTCAGAATGCTATCTGGGAATAGGCAACTAACGGATCAGGTGGTCAGGCTCGCTGACTTGGTTGACACATGTCATCGTATCCCAATTGCGCAAATCGATACTCATGCTGTTGATCACTGGGTTGTCTGGTCCAGACTGGAGTACTTACAGACTGTTGCCATATAGCTGGAATATTGCCGAGTGTGGCGTAAAACAACCAAGCAACCAATCTTTCTTAACTGCAGAGTAGGTTTAAAGTACAGCAGCATGTGTTTGGTATCATAAGACACCTCACAAACTCTACATTCTGATAAAATGCATTTCAGACCAGTATATGTTAATAACCAGGGGTTTCAGGGCGTTTTCATGGTTACCATGCATTTTAATTGTATCACAGAAATGCTATATAGCATGCCTACATATACATGTATCTATTGCTTTGGAAGAATGTTTACAGGCGTTCATGTTATCATGTTATCCCGTACACAGCATCATTAATACCAAGCTGTTTTGGAGTTAGGACAGATTAACAAGATTCTAATCCATGCAATATTAAAATAGACTGTATTTCCATTACTTCAAAAATGATTCAGAGAGGCGAAATAAATCTTAATCTAATATAACAAGATGGACAGGGCAGTTCAATTATTAGTGAGTGAGTGAGATTAGTTTTACGCCGCTTTAAACAATATACTAGCAACATCACGGCGGGGGCTACACACATTGTACCCATGTTGGGAATGAAAACGAATCTTCGGCGTGACGAGCGAACGCTTTAACCACTAGGCTACCCCACCGACCCGGCAGTTCATAAGATTTTGCATATGCTGTGGACAAAGAAGACAATGGAATCGTATGCCTAGTCAGGGGAAATGTGGGGTGTTTTCTATGAGAAAATGACAAAGGTTACGAAAGTAGTTAACGTTTAATTCTCCATTAAAGCTAACGAGCAAAGGTGGGTTTACTGACCCATCAGGGGAGTTAATTGGAGTTGATCTGTTATTGGAACACCAGACGAGTGGACTAAGGGACACAACTCGAATCGAAATTGCAGAGCTTTTTATAAATTATTTTTATTGGGTTTCATGTTTATTTTTTCTTCTATTTGTTATTGTTTGGGCGATGTAGTTTTCATTAGTTATATTATTATTTCTTCGCTTGTTTAACGCAACACACAGCTATCTTCAAGTTATCTGACGAATATCTGCAAATAATCAATTTCGGACAATTCAGTAATTGACATCGTGAGCATCGGTCTGGGATATGCTACAGATTTTTGTTTTTGTACATCAAAGTATTGATATAACACTCTTTTGAATGTCACATACCCGCACCGCAGCCCATTGTGTTCATAGTGTGTGAGATCAGGGAAGACTTTCCGAGATTTGTGACAGTTAAGAAAATGAATGCTCAGACCATTGCGGTTGCCATTATGAGACGCCTGACATCATGGGACTGAACATGAAATATCTAGTTGGACAAGGCTACGATGGGGCTGCTGTTATGAGTTCGAGCCTCAATGGAGCACTGCAGCACTGTATCCAAATGTCGTCTTCGTACACTGAAGATCACATGCCACCAGGGTGCAGATCTGTTCCATCCATCATGAACTTTTGATAGTGTCACAAAACTGACTTGGTTTCTCAGTAGCTGTGTTAAGAGGAAGGCCATCCACCTTGAGGCCGATGAAGACGGTGACTCTGAGCTACTTGGCACACAGACTGAGACACAGGATGATGAACTTGAAATGGAAACACCAGCTACTGAATTGATGAAAGGATATAAGTGAACAACAGTACCGAAGTTCTGTGCCGAACGGTTGACAGCCGTCTGCACTGATGGCAAAATACCAGACTGTTCTACAACGTCTGAATCAGATTGCAGATTCAAGCTCTGGAGATGCAAAATCAGATGCCAATTCATACATTCGCCTGATGACCGATTCTCGGTTCATCGTTGCCCTGGTTGTTGCCCAGTTTGTACTCAGTTTCTGCACTAGTGTTACTCTTGCCTTGCAGGCGGTGTCATGTGACCTGGGTACTGCATACCGTAATGTTGCCCTCTACCGCGCATGCATTGCAAACTCGCGCACAGAAGAGATATGGTCAAAAGTCTGGGATAGAATTGTCAGGATTGGACGAACTGCTGGTATTGACATCGCGAGGTCACGAGTTACTGGATCCCAATATCATCGCGCCAATGCTGATACCCATCTAGTGATTGTCAGTGATTACTTCAGGATAAATGTGTTTAATGCATATTTAGATCATGTGCTCACAGAGTGAGTGAGTGAGTGAGTATTGTTTTACGCCGCTTTTAGCAATAATCCCGCAATATCACAGCGGGGGACAATAGAAATAGGCTTCACACATTTGTACCCATGTGGGGAATCCAACCCGGGTCTTCGGCGTGACGAGCGAACACTTTAACAACTAGGCTACCCCACCGCCCCTGTACTCACAGAACTTGACACAAGGTTTGACAATTCAATCATAGCCGCACAAGGCCCGTAAAGATCCGGGGTAGAATAGGCCTTCAGAAACCCATGCTTGCCACAAAAAAGTGATTATGCTTGTCGTAAGAGGCGACTAACGGGATGTGGTGGTCAGGCTCGCTGACTTGGTTGACATTTGTCATCGGTTCCCAATTGCGCAGATCGATGCTCATGCTGTTGATCACTGGTTTGTTTGGTCCAGACTCGATTATTTACAGACCGCCGCCATATAGCTGGAATATTGCTGAGTGTGGCGTAAAACTAAACTCACTCACTCATAGCCGCACAAAATCTCATCCCTAGCTTCCATGATCGATTAGATGAAGAGTGCATTGCCTCGATCTTGTCATACTATGATAAGGTTCTCACCTATATTGTTGTGAGCACGTTTGAGGCAGAGGTTGAAAAGTTGATGAGAATGTTTGCCCTGAGTTCTGTGTTGAAGAGACCAACTACAGCAGCAGAGGTCTTGTCACAGTGTAATGTAGACATGTTTCCGGGAATATATGCCATCCTGACAGTGTTCATGACCATACCAGTCGGCAATGTGGCTTGTGAAAGGTCTTTCTCCTCTCTTCAAATGCTCAAACTGTGGACACGTGCAACAATGAGCACTGAGCGTCTAACTGGTCTGGCTATGCTGCACACGTGCAGGAGCACACCTTTGATACCAAGTCCATGCACTATATCTACTCCAGGAAGACTTCCACGACTGAAGGAAATTCAAAGACAGCTTAAAGTGTATCATGGAGTCAAAATCATTTCTAATCGAGTCAAAATCATTTTTGATATTCCCTTGGAACTGTAAATGTGTTAATTTCATGGTTGATCATAAATAAAGCAATCTTTCTGACTGACTTATGTTGTTTAGTTGCAATGAGTAAACTGAGTGAGTGAGTTATATTGAACAAACCTGAAGATATCATGTATATGATGTACATTTCACGTGCAATTTCTGGACTGTCAACTGAATTTAATAATACAACTATTGTATATTAATACTTAAACTGAACAAAACAGTTGTTTTTTATGTATGTACAGATATGTCTAGACATATCTATAACCTTTAGTTCAGAACATTATGTATAGATGCTACAATTTTGAACAAAGAAACTTTTCTAAAAAAAATGAAAAGAAATTGAAAAAAAATTGCAGGAACAATTTTTTACACAAAATTGAAGATTACATAAATGGAGTCATTTTACCTTCCGAAAGCAGGAAATTGCATCTGAGAGTATCTAAATTTTAAAAACTCCCGGGGAAACATGCCCTCGGCCCCCCTAGACCCTCGGATGCTTCGTCGCCTCAAACGTGGATAGTAAAACCCCTATTAGGAAAAGTTAACTACGGCCTTGTTTTGGTCCAGACTCGAATACGAAGAGACTTTCGTCACACAGCTGGGAAATTGTCGAGGCTCTCTTGAAACAACAAACAAACAAAACGCCCTGAATGAAAAAACTACACCTATAATAGCCTATAAACTAGTGATGCGCTGTGTGTCTATATGATCATGAAATGATAGGGTAAAGAATGTCTCCACTGATTTTATTATGTTTGATTTCCAATTGAAAATATCCCAAGGTAGCAATATTATACCAAACTAAATACACCCAAAGTGTGTTGCACTGGAACTTCGTGAGCCAACATATATGAAGTGAGTACCCTGAACAAACTGAGGAACCTTTGAACTTCATTCCGAAATGGTACGTCACCATTATGAGTGAGTGAGTGAGTATGGTTTTACTCTCCTTTTAGCAATATTCCAGCATTATCACGGCGGGGAACACCAGAAATGGGCTTCACACATTGTACCCATGTGAGGAATCAAAGTGACGAGCAGACCCTTTAACCATTATGTGTGTGAGTAACATATGGTTTGGCATTCCAATCTTTACAATCCATTTCGCTAAATATTATGGTAATGCTAACAAATATTCATCAATACGGGGTTTGTTATTAAACAGAATAATAGTCTCTTTGGTTATTCCTTTGCCAGTTCACTCCATTTCTGAAAAATTTGGTCAAACAAAATGAGGTCAGAGTGACCTAACTAATCGCCATTTCACAAAGTCAGCCATCTAACCCACTCAGCCACTCAATTGTTATGTTCATTATGTACCTATTTTTAAATCATACAAGTTTATCTGCATCTTTTAATTGTGACTGACTACGGATAAGCATTCTACAGAATGCGGCTGAACTTCACAGGGCTCCAGCAAAAATATTGATGCAACTCTTTTACGAATGTGTTATCGGCATATTCTTTGTTCATTTCTTGGTACGACAATATGAAGCCACTAGCGAGTTAGTGAGTGAGTTTAGTTTTACGCCACACTCAGCAATATTCCAGCTATATGGCGGCGTTCGTAAATAATCGAGTCTGGACCAGACAATCCAGTGATCAATAGCATGAGCATCGATCTGCGCAATTGGGAACCGATGACATGTGTCAACCAAGTCAGCGAGCCTGACCACCCGATCCCGTTAGTCGCCTCTTACGACAAGCATTTTTGTTTACTGAAGGTTCATTCTAACCCGGATCTTCACGGATGAAGCCACTAGCATATCCTCTGGGCACTAAAGAGTAAAGACACCTACGGGATCTACCTTTGACACCTTTGTTTGTTATATGGATGGTTTATGTCTTTGCCGGAACTACACGACAGCGAGTATGGACCAGACAATCCAGTGACCAACAGCATGAGCATCGATATACGCAGATGGGATACAATGTCATGCTTTAAATAAGTCAGCGAGCCTAACCACCCGATCCCCTTTGTCGTCTCTTATGACAAGCATGAGTTGAGGAGGACCAACCCGGATCTCCAAGGACGTATACCATGGTGTTAAATAGACAGCACTGAAATGTAGGATTTCATGGATCACTGTTGTTGAATCGCCCAAAGGAAGCCTTTTTGAATAACACAAGGGATTACACACATACTTCCAGCTAGGGTCCACACAGCAAGCAAATGTACTGTAAGCCCCCATGGTCCCTAGTATGTAGTCTGTCTCACAGTCCCTGAACAACATTATTTCCAAGCCTTCTCTGCAGTGCTAAAGCCCTAAATAAAGCAAGCCTAGATTTCCTCAGGTTCTGAATCTCTCGACTCACTGGGGCTTCTTTTCAATTTAAAAGGAATCATTTGTTTCTGTCACGATACATACATTCAGAGACTAAGCGTTCGTTTATCGCAGTCCCTGAGCCCCATTACAATTCCTTCCACAAGGCCCTTTCAGCAAAGCATGACCACTTAACAAACAAGTCTAAATTGTCCTTAGGACCTTAATCTCCCAGCTCACATGATATGCTAGATTAACAGCTAGTCTCTGAAATGAACATATTCTACAGAAAAAAGTTTCATTTAATTTAATTGGGCTTGTTTGTTACTATCAAAATTATATATATTCAGAGACTAAGCATTAGTCTACCTATATAGTATGGTGCTTTACCTCCGTTGTTGACAATCTATAACTATAGCCTGTTTTTATATTGTCCACAGTTAAAATGTTTTAGAGTTAATTACTATCTGTGATAATCTAGTTGTTTTTCTGTCTTTCGTTGACAGGATTTTATAATTTAAAGGGAATTATAATAAATCTATAATTTGATTAAATCACGATATGGCTGAAATACTGCCGATGTGACTTAAAATCTTAACTCACTCACATATACTTCCCTATGTAAGTCGTGATTAAAACGAATGTGTGTTAACCATTTATATTGTAAACATATTGTATTATGACAACATACTAGTTGAATCTGGACAGCTTACACGAACAAGGCGCCGGCATACGCAATAGTTGAATTTTTAGCTCTAGTTAAAACATTTATCAAATTTGGATAACGCTCACGCAAACCGAGTGTCGTCAGCACAATTGTATCGTATTTGTACAATGTACACGCCCAATCGTTGCTCGTGACTTGCTTATTATGCAAATTTAATTTGGTCGCATGTTTCCCCAAAGTTATTACCCCAGAGACCTAGTACAAAATTCTCCGCATTTTCAAACATACAAATAATCATATCATTTGTTTATGTCTACTGCCAAATGATCTACAAAAACACCCTCATATAAAATTGTCAGTTCTGTGACGAAACTGCCGTCAAATGAGTGTTAGACATGGTTATGGAGATGTGAATATTTTGTCGGAACAATCGGAGTAGACGATTTATCAAATTCATGGTAGAATGTCAACAAAATCACAGGATGCTAACGGGTTGCCATCTCACCTAAGGCGCCGCTATTCGCTTTGCAGAGTTGCGTCCCTTTGGCGCACCAGAAACCAAAGATTGAAGGTTCGAATCGTGGTTTCTAGTTTGTCTGCACCATATCCGAGCTCGTGGGTTTCAAAGTATTAAATGTTGTATATTGTTGATATCCGAGTAGAAACGAACAAACAGGGAAATGTTACACAGTCAAAATAAATATTATAAACTTAACAAAGTTTACTGAGACGTAAGGTAAAGGTTACTTAGACTATTTACTTTACAACTAACATGTAAGGCAAACGAGAGAAGACGTTAACCTCCCTTCGCAATTTTTTATTTTTTATTTTTTTGTATTTCCATTGTTATGTTACAATTTCCATTACAGCAGCTTTATGTTCTTCAATTGAAAGTATTTTAAGTGTACAGTGATTAGTGTTGATGTAAATACATAATGTGTACATTAACTCTTATATATATATACTACCCATCAAAAGTTTAGACTCACTAGTGTAAATGTAGCCACTTACTTCAGTCAACTGTTCTAAACTAGTTTTTGCAAAATATTCTATACTGTTTAAAGGTACTGTTTAGTTATGAACTGATGTATTGTAAAACATATTCGTAACATTGAAAAGATTATTGTCATGAGTTCAGTAAATGATAAAAATCTGTGAATATTGGCGAATTCTTAACAAAACTTTACACCCAAACGAAGCTGTTCACATGCACGACATTTGCACATGCCTTTCAGCAATTTGATGCATTATCCTCGTGCAATTCATCTGCATAAGGTTTTCAATTGGTTCCCCCAAGTTGGTGGAGAAATTCATCTTCGATGTAACCACACATATATACATAACATATAGTGAATGCTTTAAGTGAGTCTAAACTTTTGATGGGTAGTAAGTACACATATATACAAAATACATGTAGTTACAGTCAGTCAGTTATAGTATTTCGAAAACTTGCATAGTTACAATTAGAAAAGGCAATAAATTTTGAGATTTCATAATATTTTAATACTTCGCAATTTTTAGTATGCCTTCCGGACCGATTCCATTGTCCAGAGGCCGTACTGGATACATAAGGCGAAACGAATGATCTTCACACAACCGTTTATTTTGATGCAATGTGATATCATGGAGGCATGTGATTGCCCCTATAGGTAGTCTTAAATGCTTGCAGCAATATCCATACTATACATGGTAGGTTGATGCTTCTTCCAGACTGCGACTGACCCCAAACGCGTCCAAATGGAGCACAGTCGAAGCCTCCATAACAGTACAGAGTTTTATTCTCACAAAGCACATACATTGATACAGAGCGTGCATATACTTTTGCTGCAGTGTACTTTGCATTTCTATTTTTCTAATGAATAGTTACTGGGCCAGCTTGTATATTTTCATTGATTCTTGTCAGTAGCGGCCCATGGGGCGAATTAATTAGTACGTTAAGCTTTTTCTATACATTTATGTTTACAATAATATTTTGAAAGTTGTTTCTTTCTTTTTTGTGAATATGGGCGCTGGGATAAAATACAATTCATTTGCAACAGAAGTATTGCATAAGTACAAGTTTCTTGTGATGTTTCAATATATTTCCATCTACCCTTTTCTATTGGTAACGTATGGTTTGACGTATCACTTTTGTACAATCCATTTCGCTAAATATTATGGTAATTGTAACAAATATTCACCTTTACGGATGTCTGTTTTAAACATAACACAATATTTACTCTTTGATGATTCCTTTGCCAGTTCACTCTAGTTCTGTTAAAAACGGTCAAACAAAATGCTTACCCTCTGATGAGGTTTTAGTTACCTTACATATTGTGATGCTTACGTCCTCGGCCTCTCTCTCTGATTATGAGACGCTTACCCTCGCTGATGACGTGATGCTTACCCTCTCTGATTACGTGATGCTTACCCTCTCCGATGATGTGATTATGATGACGTGATATTTAGACTCTCGCTGATGACGTGATGCTTACCTCTCGCTGATGACGTGATGCTTTATAATACCCTCTCGCTGATGACGTGATGCTTACCCTCTCTCTGATGACGTGATGCTTAACCTCTCTCTGATGACGTGATGCTTACCCTCTCTGATGACGTGATGCTTAACCCCTCTCTGATGACGTGATGCTTACCCTCTCTGATGACGTGATGCTTAACCTCTCTGATGACGTGATGCTTACCCTCTCGCTGATGACGTGATGCTTAACCTCTCTGATGACGTGATGCTTACCCTCTGATGACGTGATGCTTACCCTCTCGCTGATGACGTGATGCTTACCCTCTCTGATGACGTGATGCTTACCCTCGCTGATGACGTGATGCTTACCCTCTCGCTGATGACTTGATGCTTACCCTCTCCGATGACGTGATGCTTACCCTCTCGCTGATGACGTTATGCTTACCCTCTCTGATGACGTGATGCTTACTGTCTTTCTCTGATGACGTGATGCTTACCCTCTCTGATGACGTGATGCTTAACCTCTCTGATGACGTGATGCTTACCCTCTCTGATGACGTGATGCTTAACCTCTCTGATGACGTGATGCTTAACCTCTCTGATGACGTGATGCTTAACCTCTCTGATGACGTGATGCTTACCTCTCTGATGACGTGATGCTTAACCTCTCTGATGACGTGATGCTTAACCTCTCCGATGACGTGATGCTTACCCTCTCTGATGACGTGATGCTTAACCTCTCTGATGACGTGATGCTTAACCTCTCTGATGACGTGATGCTTAACCTCTCTGATGACGTGATGCTTAACCTCTCTGATGACGTGATGCTTACCCTCTCTGATGATGTGATGCTTAACCTCTCTGATGACGTGATGCTTACCCTCTCTGATGACGTGATGCTTAACCTCTCTGATGACGTGATGCTTACCCTCTCGCTGATGACGTGATGCTTACCCTCTCTGATGACGTGATGCTTACCCTCTCGCTGATGACGTGATGCTTACCCTCTCTGATGACGTGATGCTTACCCTCTCTGATGACGTGATGCTTACCTCTCTGATGACGTGATGCTTAACCTCTCTGATGACGTGATGCTTAACCTCTCTGATGACGTGATGCTTACCCTCTCGCTGATGACGTGATGCTTAACCTCTACCTGATGACGTGATGCTTACCCTCTCGCTGATGATGTGATGCTTACCCTCTCTGATGACGTGATGCTTACCCTCTCGCTGATGACGTGATGCTTACCCTCTCTGATGACGTGATGCTTACCTCTCGCTGATGACGGGATGCTTAACCTCTCTCTGATGACGTGATGCTTACCCTCTCTGATGACGTGATGCTTACCCTCTCTGATGACGTGATGCTTTACCCTCTCTGATGACGTGATGCTTACCCTCTCGCTGATGACGTGATGCTTACCCTCTCTCTGATGACGTGATGCTTACCCTCTCGCTGATGACGTGATGCTTACCCTCTCTGATGACGTGATGCTTACCCTCTCTGATGACGTGATGCTTAACCTCTCTGATGACGTGATGCTTACCGTCTCGCTGATGACGTGATGCTTACCCTCTCTGATGACGTGATGCTTACCCTCTCTCTGATGACGTGATGCTTACCATCTCGCTGATGAAGTGATGCTTACCTCTCTGATGACATGATGCTTACCCTCTCTGATGACGTGATGCTTAACCTCTCTGATGACGTGATGCTTAACCTTTATCTGATGACGTGACATTTCCTACCCTTACACTACGTAAAATACAAAAATCGGAATACACCTGTTAGTCTTGCTTTCACTTGGTAATAACCACTCACACATTGTGTTTAAATGTATTCTGTGTACTCACACCCCGTTTTGTTTTGTTTCCGCATTGTGAGCAATTCGATTTCTGTTGGCAGTTGTTGTTTCTGTCTGCAATTGAGATCGCATTGTCACCTGAAACTCGGTTTAAATTTCTCGCCAATTAGTTTGTGAATATTGGTAAATAATGCACCGAGCAAAGCCCCAGTAACTGATGAAGTGAGCCATGAGCTTGTATCAATACAGTGTTGTAAACATGTGGTGCGATTCTATTCAAATTGTATCAGCGTTAAAGCAGATGAACCTGTTTTTAACATGGCTGTTCTTGTATTTAGTGACGTATTGCATCGGATTTCTCAATGGCCCATTTGTATTTACATCTCTGTTTTATCATTTAAGAACCTGCCTTAAATGGACAATAGGTGCGATGTGGTAGCCTAGTGGTTAAAGCATATCTCAACACACCGAAGACCCAGGTTCGATTCGCCACATGAGTACAATGTGTGAAGTCCTTTTTTTTGGTGTTCCCCGCCTTGATATTGCTGGAATATTTTAAAAACACGGCGTAAAACCATCCTCATTCCATGGATAATAAGCTGTTTAGAGCGTTCATTCATGACAGAGTTATACCTCTGTACAATGCACACGAGACACATCGGTCCCAAACCAAGTACAGGTTGCTTCGGTTTGACATCATTTAAAGCTATTTTCCGTCAATATCACGACAGGGGCGGTGGGGTAGCCTAGTGGTTAAAGCGTTCGCTCGTCACGCCGAAGATCCGGATTCGATTCCCCACATGGGTACAATGTGTGAACCCTATTTCTGGTGTCCCCCGCCGTGATATTGCTGGAATATTGCTAAAAGCGTTGTAAAACTAAACTCACTCACTCACTCAATATCACGACAGGTGACCCACAAATGTTCTTCTCACATTTTACCCCTTCTCTTTCCCTTCTGGAACCCCTTCTGCAACCACTTCTTCGTCCTTTCTCGAACCCCTTCTGTTTCTCTTCTGCAACCTATCTCTTCCCTTCTCTATCCTTTCTGCAACATCTCTTTCCCTTCTGCAACCCATTCTCCTGCCCTTCTGGAACCCCTTCTCCTGCCCTTCTGTAAACCTTTCTTCCCTTCTGCAACTCCTTCTCCTCT